GTTCGCTTCCAACTGATCTACCATATAATTAAAGTTCATTTCATTAATCATTAGGTGAGGTGTAGTTTATGAAATCTCTGACAAAAACAAGAGTATACAGGAATAAGATCGATCAAAGTATCTGGGCATGATAATATACAGACATTTGAGGGAGGACCATCACATCCAGAATGTAAAAAATGAATTGAGAGGTCTACTGAGTAAATTCAGATACCCTGCTGACTTCCTGAATACGAAAAATATGAAAACATTATATTTTGATCTCGTACAATCACAGTTGAGTTATGAAATTTTGTGTTGAGGGATCCTGGCTGGAATTTTTTTTTTGTTTTAATGGAGACATAATTTTATTCAGCTTTAGAAAAAATACATCAATCATAGGATGTGTACAAAACGGAATTAAATTAAGTTAAATTGAAGGTAAATTCGTATGATTTCTCCTGGTGCAGTCTAAAATAAATGCATTCATGTACAATACGATACAATGTATACATCTTTATACAATAATTATCTTGCTTCTTCCAAAGTGGCGTAGAATACACCTGGGCGTATGTCGCCTGTTTTGTGCTTTTTCCACCCCACTTGAAGAAGTAATATTATTATATGCATGTAACAGCAATGGTAGAGAATAAAAAATGCAAACGTAAACAAAAAATAGAAAGAATAATATAAATTTAATGAAAAACTGGTAATTTTAGTGATGGTGATAATGCAAAGGAAGGGGTAGCGATCGACGATGCAGGATTTTGAGGTTCGCTGTTCCCTTTAATAATAGTGGTATTCTCTATATGATTTTTATTCGATTCTGTAATAGAAACCTCCATTATTATTTTCCATGTCTGTTTACAATTGCCCGTAGCTTCATCAAGCTTGTTTTTATAATATTGATTTTTTGTTCGTTTCAGTAAATTATTAAGTTTGTTTCTGTATTATTTACATATTCCTTCAGAGTATTTATTCAAAAGTTTTTTTCAGGTTGTCCCTAGTTTTCATAGAAGCTATCAACCCTGCTGTGATCCATAGTTTCAGTTTGCTTATTTTCTTATTTGAACTGAACGTTTCGGGTGCTTCTGTTATATATCATTTGATTTTTGTGTTTCATTGTGTTGTAATATATTTGCCCATTGTTCTTTCTCTGAGAGATATTTTAATTTTCCATACCTAATCTTCTTATATGTATTGATAATATTTTTTGTTTCGAGTGTTGAATAGTGATCTGTCATATCACTACGGATTACAGATGATTCAAAATTAATTTTATTTCGTAGAATTTTCTTTTTTTTTTCAAGAAAACATAATCGATTTTGATTCTTGAGTTTCTCCCATCGGTTAATTAATATAAGAAACGAAACCATTTCCGGTCATCAGATTTTGGTAAAGGTTTGTGTCCTGGGAAACTGTATCTGATAAATCTATATTTATATCACATAAAAATAATTCCACTGCTTGGCTACTAAAATTCAGAAAATAGGTTTCTAAATCATTCAGGTAAGTTCCTACATCAATAGAAGGATAGCCGGTATGAGGCAGTGACACAAATTTTAACTTCTTCACCCACATTATTCGTTGTGTTATTCTTAGTAAGTTTGTGTCGGTAAGTGGAATAATTTGTGCGTTTGCTGCTGAGGAATTTTTTGTGTAGATTATTGAACCATTGGTTTGATTTGTTTTTGATTCATTGTAATATACTGTATAAGTTGGTATCGTGAAATTACTGACTCAATTTTCCACGTTTCCGAGAGCACGGAAACGTGGAAACCATCGTATAAACCAGTATAAACCATCGACAAAACCCCAATCGTTTCTCAGGGTCACCAGGTTCTAGTGTTTGCACTATCCTCAACTTATAAGAGGAACTCTTATGTTTCTTCAGAATTCGTTGAATAGCAGACGATGAAACAACTATTTCGCTAGATAAATCTCTAAAAGAATTATTTGGATTTACCTTAAAGTAGGCTATAACGTCAATTTCTGATCTTCAGATATTACGAAAAAATTTTCGTTCTCTTCTCAAAAACTTTTTTATTATTCCTGAATCGACGAAGACGCACAGCAAAAAACGCTGATTAGGTAATTCATGATCGGGGAAACGAATTGTTGCAGTGTTGAAGTGCTCTTACGCAATTTTTCTGGCAAACCAAGTAATATTCTAACATATCACATTTTTCTTAATTGGAAAACGGCATTTCTTAAAATATTCGAACAGTAATTGATGGTTACAATAATTTATGACATTGTCATGATATACTTGAGAATATTTGATAAACAGTATTTCAACAGAGTTTCAAGGCAACTTGAAAATTCATAAAATTCTGTTTTATCGAATCAAACACATTTTTTTCCAACCGCATTAATATAACGCTCTAGTATTTTCTGTTGGAGGCATAATGTCATGAGGTAATTCTGGGAATGACCTTTGATATTATGGTTCCAAGTGCCTACTACGAACTGCCTTATGTAGTACTTTTCCTGAGTAGACAAGTAAATATCAAGGGCAGATAGTTGTTGGTTCAGGTTAGTTGTTGGATAGGTGTTTTTTGGTGCAGACCCAGGACAGAGATATCAACCTGCCTAGCGACCTATGCGACTGTCGAAAGTCGATTAAAATGTTCTTGGATAGTCAAGCGGCATTAGAAGCTCTTGGCTCCTACAGAGCAAAGTCTAAGCTGGTTGTCAAAAACGACTCTTTCTAATGGAAAGACTCAACAAATTGACACTGGCTTGGAAGGCAATGAGGCTACTGACTCCCTTGCAAAGGAGTGTGCTGAAAGTAGCTTCATCGGACCAGAACCTGTTATTGGCATTGCTTTAGGTTGTTGCCAAATACAACTGGATGGCAAAAAGATTTGAAGACTTCTGGCAAAATCTCCCAAGATTGGCTCACTCCAAGGCGTTCATTCACCCTTCGAAGCTTAAAACCAAACAGTTGTTGGACTACAGTAAGAATGAACTACGATGTCTTACTTACAGTTCACTGCTATCTGAATCAACATACGCAGAGACTCGGACTGGCGGAAGACAGTGTATGTCGCCTCTGTTTGAAAAATCATGAAACAGCAGCAGCACTTTTACCATCTGACCTGGAAGATCACTCACCATATAAAGTAATCGGTTTCATCAAAAAGCTGGTTTCATGTGGTCAAATTTAAATAGGCGTGAGCCACACTAAAGCCTTGTGAGTTGCGGTGGAGGTCGAATAGTCCCACTCACTCTTGACCTATTTTCTGTTCTGTTCAAAAACGGCTTCAATGTTTTCATTATAGAAGACATATTTTGATTCACAAAATAAATACGGCTAGTGGAATGGCTTTAAGATGATGGAAATTATAGTTCTGTAAATTAATACCAAATAGCTCAGTGGTGTAGGTGAATGGTACGACATGATGATCACATGATGAGTTTCACGAGTTCAAATCCAAGCGCAATTTTTTCTTTTTGCTGTTAGTAACAAAATATTGTTATTCGTATAATAACCAAAATTGGGTGTTTGAACAATCACGAGATTTTTTTTGCCAAAACAAAGAAATCTTTTTTGCTAGTGAAATAAATAAATATTTTCACATATGTCGCTCATTTTAAACTTTAGGAAGAAAGGTGATATGAGCTTCTACAATTTTTGTAACTTTGGTAACTGCAAACGCCCACAGAATTTGTGAATAAAAATAATTAATATTTTAGATTCTCTCCAGACAAAATCAATGGATCAATATCTACCCAATGGCTATATAACATGATTTTGGAAAAGTGGTCATGGCTACCAAAAGATGAAGTGAAAGATACCATTCTCAAAAGAGGATACTACACCGTCCTAGCACAAAAAGGGTTACGAATTGTGGTTCTAAATAACAATGTCTGCTCTACAGATAACTGGTGAGTGTCATGTCGGTTTCCGTAATATTTCAATTCATTCGGTTATAATATTTGATTTATTTTCATTACGAACTTTTGTGCTATATACCTACTTTTTGAAAAGCCGTATACATAATCGATCTAATATATTTTATGTTTTTGAAGTTATATTAATTTATCAGTTTTTGATAATGTAAAAATGCACTTCATTTAATTTCGAGACATTTCATTTCCATTAACAATATAATAATTGGAATTGTTGATTTTGAGAAAATTGGCCCAGTACATTTCGTTAGTAATTTTCTGTAATGTGAAATATTATTCGGATTGACCGAGGCTAATTGTCACAGGTGGATTTTTTTTGTTTATGGTGGTTTATGTAATGCTGCAAATGAGTACAGTGAGTCATAATACTGTGCAAATGATATTTTGTGAGTGCTTGTTAAGTGTAACATACCCGTTAGCGGTAAACGAAACGCGGTAATTTGTCATTGGGTGATTAAACGGCAGTATAAAAATGATTTGTATACAATTAAAAGAAAAATTTGAGTTTTCATCGACCTTCTTTGGGTATTTTCACCTTCCGCAATATGAAAAATGACTTCTGTCGAAGAAGTTGAGAAAAGCAGATTTTTTAAACGGTAGGCACTGAAGAATTTCGGGCCAACATCTCCCAGAAAAACATGGAAATTGGAAGAAACTAGCTATAAATATGGTCAATATGTTTGGCTCGACTTACGTATGTGAAACATATTTCTCAAAGAGGCTTTTGAAAAACAAATATCGTTCAAAATTAACGCCTACCTTTAATACACTGGTTCAAGACCGTCTATGTAGTTTCCCACATTATTGTGTTTTATAATTCAGAATTTGATTTGAAAACAAAATAATACATAGGTAGCACCCAATTATTATCAATTTTTTTTCTGGACCTCGTTAAAATTTTACCACAGTATCCGGACCCCACTTAAAACTACTTGCCGACCCCTGCGTTATACAGTTCAACTCACGATAACAAAAACACTTCCTAAATATTTCCAAATGTTACTTATCTATGAAAAAGTTGAAAAAAAAACTATTCTGGGAAGATATATGTTACAAAATATTAGGTAATAAAAAAATAATATAAGAGGAAAGTTCAGGAGAACTCACAAAAGAGAAACTACTCATTGAAGGTTCATTTCGAGAAACGGTTGTAGCTGGTTTCTTCAATCACTTCGGACATTGACGAGGAGTTTGGTTAGAGGAACCATTGTGGCAGTTGATACAAAAGCCATTGGTGCATATTTCACAGATCACCAGCGCACCTGAAATTAAAAAAAATATCTGGGTTTATTAACCGTCGTTTACAGGTTTTTGAGTTCGACGTTTCTTCTACAACTGAAGCAAAGATTATTTGCAGCAGTTGTAACTTAGTTCGATTTCGCAAGCGGAAAGTAAGTTTGTTTTTGAAAGATAATGATGTAATATAACATGTCTTCGAATCTTTTTTTGGAAGAATACCAGGTGTTGATGGGAGAAATTTGCAGCACTAGATTGCTTGTAATTGAAACAAATTTGTAAACGCACTTTGAACCGAAATACCAACAAAAAAACAATAATATAAGCATCAATTCATTTTCATACCACCAGTGTGATATGAACTTTTACTTGAGATCGATGAATTCATTTCGTATTTGATGTGATATAGTAATTTAATAATTGGTGAATTGATGCTGAGTTCATTCAGGAAAATTAGAAATAATTGCGGTAATAAATCCTGTTTTCATATTTTTGGTTTCTGTATGAGGAGATGAATAGTTCAAAACCACTAAATTACTAAAACAACTACAAAAGGCTAAGAAATTGTCGCCATCAGAAAAGTTCGTGAATCATATCAACATAGTTGATTTTGTTTTCATTTTACTTGAAAACATTTTTTAATCTATTTTTTGTTTCTCCCATAGTGATAGCATACCTGTTGTATCATTGGCTAAAGTCATCAGAATCATGAGGATACACAGGATGCTGGAGAAGGCGATAACAGCCTCTGTTCCTGATTAAACATCGAGTTATTTTTACTTTAATGATGTTAACAAAACGTCGTGATTCGTTAAAAAAAGTTTATTGAAAAATTCAAGGACTTTTTTATGGATTTGTTCAGAAGTAAGTAACAGGATTATTGGTTTGCAATATATTTCTTGAAATTTCACGACTTTCAAAAATCTACCAACCTAATTCCTTTTCTACATTCATGTCCATTATAGAGTTTCATTACGAAATTTCAATCGTATTAATTATATACTTATGATGCACTGTTTGGAACCTTTGGTGTAGTAATGAATATTACTACTATTAAAACTGTTTTAATCTTCCTCTTTGAAGATGATCACTTGGTGATCAAAACACGTGTCGAGGTGTTAAAAATAACGTCGAAACACCTGTCGGAGTGTTATAAATAACGATTTGGTGTTGGAAAAAAACTCCGGTAATATTCACGTATTAATTATTCCGAGCTGGTAGCAATAATATTCTTTCACGAACAAATACTGTTCAAATGCAAACGGTTTTTTTAGGTTTCTATACATATATAAACATAATATGGAGAAAATACTAGATTATTAAGTTTTAAGATTCTCCATTCAGGTTTTTGTATCTTTTCGAAAACCATTTCATCAGTGACCAAATATGTTCATCAGTCTATATTTGTCTGAAATTTTTCACCTTTATGTTTTCCAAAATCAATAAATAAATCCTATATGTCTGCTCACCATTCCATTTTAACATTTCTCAATTAGAAACAATACCAATTCAGGACATACTTTGGTCTTCTTTGGAAGCTCCCGTTATATGTCTGTTCAAAATCTGTTTTTCCGTTAATCAGCTGTCGCGAAAATCGATATTTCTTCATTAAAATAAAATGAATGTACCGTTCTTCTTATTGCAAATGTGTAGTTTTCATCAACGGACATAGTTTTCTTCCTGAAGATGGTTTTGGAAAAGATGGTTCGGATGAGTTTGAATTAAAACATCATTCTTCCCGGTAGAAACAAACTGATATATGGAAACTTACATTAGACATGATTGACAGTAACCCAAAGAAGTTTGTATTGTTGTCAAGTCATCTGTCATCATTTCAGTCATTGAAGATCATGTCAAAATGGATTATTCATGGTAAATTTTCGTTATGTGGACACCCGGCGATTTTGAAAAAATTTTTGACTGTACTTACGTATTTCGATGCGTAGATTACGAATCCGAAAGAAAAAAGCGGCGCTCTCCCTTATTTAAAAAGTTACGGCCCTTCAAAGTTCAGAAAAGGGCAACTTTTCAGCCTTCTTTTTCACTAAATAAACTATTTAAAAACACAAGCATTTATTCACTAGGTCACCTTTTCACCTTATTCCTCCTTCTTTAACACTTTTCACTTCAATAATCAACATGTTTCTTATAAAAACTTAATTTAAAAACGAATGCTTCTCCTGGTGACATTATTCTATTTTTAGGTTAGTTACTAGTGACATTTTAGGAAAAAGCGGTTGGTATTTGCTGTCGCCTACTATTTCAAAATCGTAATACACCACCAAAAACCAATTTACGATCTAAAGAATGAAGGTAAAAAACATTTGAATTACTTCAGGGATATGGACTGCATCAGTCGTACCAACCATATCATCAACCTTAAAAACGTAAAATACAGTGATATGTAACCAAAAAGCAGCTCCGTACATTTTTTAATGAAAAGTTGCCCTTTTCTGAACTTTGAAGGGCCGTAACTTTTTAAATAAGGGAGAGCGCCGCTTTTTTCTTTCGGATTCGTAACATACGCATCAAAATACGTAAGTACAGTCAAAATTTTTTTCAAAATCGCCGGGTGTCCACATAACGAAAATTTACCAGCTCGTGAACAACTATTGTACCCATTTCGCTTGCAGAAGATGATGGCCCTAGATGCTGGTGATTATGGCCCTCGTAGATTATTTTGTAAACCTTGGTTCAACAAAAACTGTCGCCTCCAAAATTCTCGCCTAACGGCAGTGGTGCAAAAATCCCAGTGCCGAAAACCGAAACAGGTTTGTTAATGCTCGCAACAGCTGCAAACTTAAGATAAGTCGAAGAAGTTGAGAAAGGCAGATTTTTAAAACGGTAGGCACTGAAGAATTTCGGGCCAAACATGTCCTAGAAAAATATCGAAATTGGAAGAAAATAGCTATTAATATGGCCAGTATGTTTGGCTCGACTTACGTAAGTGAAACATCTTTCTCAAAGAAGCTTTTGAAAAACAAATATCGTTCAAGATTAACGGACGCCTACCTAGAATACACTGGCTCAAGACCGTCTATGTAGTTTCCCACATTATTGTGTTCTATAATTCAGAATTTAATTTTAAAATTGCGAGCAAGCCTCCAAATTTCTCGCCTACCGGCAGTGGTGCGAAAATCCCAGTGTCAAAAACCGAAACAACAGGTTTGTTAATGCTCGCAACAGCCGCAAACTTAAGATAAGTGGAAACAAAGAACTTCACATTCAGAGAATTAGGGAAAAGCTGCTTGCCAATCCCGATGGGTCTAGATTCTTCTGGTCGGTAGCTAAAACTGTTAATCAGAACTACAATACAAACTACAAAATCTACAATTCCACCACTTACACAAGTGGATAGTTCAATTGCAATAACAGCCATAGAAAAAGCAAATCTACTAGCTGAACAATTTGCTTCCCCCTCCACAGTCAATTTTCTGAATTATGCACCACCTACTATTCCCACACTAGAATCCTCAGAGCCGAAAATTACTTTACGGCAGCGTTTTCAGGCAAAATTTGAAACATCTCAATATCAACAAGGCGTCTGGTCTTGATGAAGTGCCGGTCATCGTACTTAAAAAGTGCGTAAATGAACTCACACCAGTATTTTGCAGACTTTTCAACCTGTCCCACAAGAGAGGTATTTCCGTCTTGTTGGAAGACTGCTCGATATTCTCAAAAAGGGCAAAAAACTCTTCCAAATAACTATAGACCAGTCTCTTTGCTATCAGCGATGTCAAAAATCATGGAGAAATGCGAAAACCTCCATATCCTCAAATATTTGGAAGGCTTTAACAACTTGAGCGATCATCAGTATGGCTTTCGGAAACAAAGATCAACAAGTGACCTTCTATCTTATGTCACCCATATTTGGAATAACGCAATCGAGAAACATGGAGAGGCAAGTGCTATTGCGCTTGATATTTTTAAGGCCTTTGAACATGTGTGGCATGAGGGTTTGCTGGACAAACTTCAGTGATATGGCTTGTCGGATCATTTTTGTGTAGAGCTCTTCAGCTTCCTGAAAGAACGTTCCCTGCAAGTGACCGTCGATGGATATCTCTCGAATACTTCCCCATCAACGCTGATGTTCCTCAGGGACCCATATTGTCCCCAACCCTTTTTCATTGTATATCAACAACTTATTGTAGAAGACCAAGAATCCAATATATCACTTTGCTTACGACAGCACACTTGTCTTGTCATTCCATTCGGATATCAGGACATCGGCTACGGAGGTACATCTTCACCGGTTGCAAATCTTAATGAGGATCTAGAATAGATTTTGAATTGGGGTGGAAGTAACCAGGTTCAATTCAATGCTACAAAAACCCAGGCATCCGTTGTCTCCAAGAAGATAAATATCTCCGAACCGGATATAATAAAGTCAGGTCAGACAGTTCCGCTTTCTGCGAGATTGTAGGGGGTTAAAATGGACGCCAATATGTCTTGACATAATCATGTCACTGGAATTACAAAGGCTGCTTCTCAAAAGCCCGGGACAGAACCAGAAAACTGTAAATGCCTCAGCAACGTTTGATGCTTTATAAAGCTCAGATCAGACCTTCTTTGGAGTATTTTTCCCATGTATGGAACTCCGCCTCCTTAAAAAAAATTGTGTAGGATGTACGAAGAAGCAAACGACTTTTCCAGATGTTTAATTTATGGATAAGGCAAGTTCCACAAGAGAAGGATATTTCAATACTAGAAATAGCCATTTATGGGATCAACAAAATCCGTATGGAATGTTTCGAAAAGGCTACCAACAGAAGTTTTCAGTGAATATTTGGGTAGGAATTGTCGATTATCATACCGTTGGACCATGTCTTCTTCCTTCCTGTTTGAATGGACAGAACTACCAAGTTTTTCTTGAACATGTCTTATCCGAGCTACTTGAAGAAGTACCTCTATTGGTTTGTCAAAGAATGTGATTTCAATATGACGAAACACTGGCCCATTTTCAACGAATCGTTCGTCAATTTATCGATGTAACATTCCGAGATCGGTGGATAGGTAGACGTGGTTCCATACATTGGCCTGCATGTTCTCCAGATTTAACGTCCCTGGCCTTTTTTAGGGGATACCTTGAATCCCTCGGGTATTCGACACCCGTAGAACCTGTTAAAGATTCAACGGCAAGAATTTTAGCACCATGTACTTTCATTTAACAACACCTCTTCACTTGTTTTCCTCAAGACTAATAAGGGTGTTATTACTTAATATTGAATTGGACATATTTGATTTTTGGGTTTTCTCATTGCGTTACTTATAGAACAGCAGATGTCTCTGATCACACTTGGATCATAACAGTTCTCCTCTGTTCCACAGTTTTATCATCGACAAACTAACACACTTTTTCAAACTCAATCACATGACAGCTGTCATTGTCAATTGGTTTTTGTCTCTCTGTTTGTTCTTCAACCACATGGCTTTTACTAGTAATCCATAATTTTAAAACAAATAACGATTTTTTAGTAAATTTTAATTCAATAATCTTCTTTGTATCCTGTGAGGAGTCGACCTCTTTTATTTTAATGACTTGTTTTTTGTATTGACATGTTTCATGTTTCAATTGTTTGAATATAATATTCTGTTCGACACGGCCAACCTCACTAACAATAAGTTGTGACTTTTTATATTAATAATTTTTATAGTGTATCACCATCATATAAAATTTGTAGCTTTTCCCTGAAGATGAGAATAAATTTTATCGAAATATTGGAATAACTTGTATATATATATACAAATACAATAGTTTCAATTATTATTATTTCCCAAACACTTCCAATATTCTTCAACGGAAAGGTGTGAAAGTATAATGAGAAAACAAAATGCTTTCAAAAATTTTATTTCATTTTCTGATATTCTGCATAATCAATTAAATTTATACATACTTCCAGTATTATGATTTTCAAATCTACCCTTATTAATCGTGTGTGCACAACGAAAAACACTAATTTAGACATAAGATATTATTTTTTAATTGAATATGATATTCGATATGTTCAGTGAATTTTTTCCAATCATCTTTTATTATTTTTTCAAACCACTCTAACAAAATTATTCAATTTTTCTCGCAGATGAAAGTCAATAAGATTAATGCTTAGTTGTAGGAGTAATTTGGTATTCGTAACAAAGGCAAGGTAGGCGGTAATTAAATACCTGATTTTCCTCATATAACAAAGCAAATTTTATACCTGGTATAATATCCGGAAATTTGTCACAATATAATTTGAGGCAATAGTAACTGAAACATTTTATTTCATATGAATTTATTACATTTCACAATAAATCTAATTCCTTCGGCAGTAGAGTGATAAAATCATAATTGGCGTACATAATTTAGTTGGTTGAAATCGAAAAATGTAGTGCTTTTTTTAAATACTCAATAAAAATATGAACAGCCGCGCTAATAAGAATTTTTTTCAATTAAACACCTCATTGAATCAGGCATACCTAAGGTGGTTTCAACTTTTCCTTGAAAAAAAAAATTACGTCATGATTCGATCCCAACCAATAGTGCATTTGTTCTTTATTCGCAGATCATGAATTATTAATAAATCCCTTGCGTCTTATTTAGCGTTGTATGTATGTCCGACTCTGATATCTTACCCCCCGTCCGAAAGTTAAGAAGGGGGAGCTATTTACGTTCGCACTGTACTGGGAGACGATGGAAATTTAGAAAAGGGGTAACAATGTCAGTCGAAAAGAAGAAAGAATTCAAATTTATGAAATATGGCTACCTTCATTCAGTTGCTTTCGTACCAGGTGATTTATTTAAATTATTGTAATGAACACCACCCACCAAAAGAATAACACCGGAAATTGAAACCAAGTGTGTTGTACTTAGCTGTTTTGAGGACAAACAGAATGTTTCGTCGGTTTAAACTCTTCAATACATACACACAGTTTTTCTACTCAAAATGGTGATTTCTCACATGGAAATCCTGAGGTTGTTCAGCAGCTGTGCTATTTACGTTTCAAAATCATTACCACTACAAAGATATACAGTACCAAAATAAATAGGCATTTTTTACTACACTATGATTTTTAATATTTTCAATTTCACTCTCAAGTTACCACCAGTATAAACATCATACCTACATGATCACTTTACATTCATCTGTACTCACAAAACTCATTGAATTAAATAAATAATATTTTCAGTTACAAATTCACTTCATGGATATTCTCAAATATTACTGATCAATGAACAAGTTGAGAAAACTTCTTTGGCAAAATACTACAACAGGAATGTTCCGGAGAACTCACAGAAAAGAAACTACTCGTTCATAACATTAATTTCGAGAAACGGTTGTAACTGGCTTCTTCGAACTTTTCGGACATTGACGAGGAGTTTGGTTACACATCTCATCAGCAGATCTGAAACAAAAAAAAATTTAATTTCATAGCTGTTTTCCGAGTTTATTAACCGTCGTCTGAAGGTTTCTGAGCTTGAAGTTTTGTCTGACAGCAGCAAAGAATAATAGCAGCAGTTGCAACTTGTTTCGATTTCGCAAGCGGAAAGTTTGTTTTAGAAAGAAAACGGTGTGACACGACAAATAAAAATTTTACATCATTGCTAAAATAAACTACGTGTTGATGAGACTTATTTGTACGGAAAGCTTGTGATTATGGAGTTGAAACGAATTTATGAATACTCTTTGAACCGATCTACCACCGAAAAATGCGATGGAATTAATCTTGAAGCGTGAGATTTTGCACTTGAAGATACCAATTGTTCCATTCACGTTCATACCACCACTTGGATGAGATCGAATTAGTCCATCACAGATTTGATGTGATATAGTAATTTAATAACAAGTGAGTTGATGCGTAGTTCACCAAGACAGATTTTAAATTATTGCGGTAGTAAATCCTGTTTCATATTCTTGGTTTATGTGCCACTAAAGAACTATAAACTACCAAAGGTTGAGAAGAGCGTCGACATTAGAGAGAAGTTTGAATCAGATCAACATGGAAAAAATTTGTTTCCATTTCACAGGATTTTTCATTCATTTTTTTTGTTTCTTACATGGTGTGATTATACCTATATAGAGACATCTTCAAATTGAAGTAAGTTCACGATTTTCAAAATTCGGCGGCCTATTTTTTTAAATTTATGTCCATTATAGTTTTTACTTTTGATATTTCAATTAATCTTGAAGTGGTAGCAATGATGTGCTTTCAGGAACAAATACTGTTCAATCTTGAATGATTTTCGTGTTCCTACACGAAACCTATCATTTTTCACCATAATCTATTCATCAAAGTGAATTTGTTTGAAGTTTTTCACTTATATGTTTCCCAAAATAAATAAATAATTCCAATATGTCCGCTCACGACTCCATTTTTACATTTCTCAATCAAAACATTACTCATTCTGGATCCTTCTAAATTATTGTGCATCTTTATCAGCTTGTTTCATTCAGCACTCTGAAATAAAGTTTAATACACAACTCTCAACCATGATATATTTCCATTTGAAATAACTATTGTAAATAACCCTATTCTGGTTCTTTCTTTTGAAATCATCACAGTTTTCAACTTCGTACTCATTTTTTATTTTCATGGTTTTCAAATAACTATTGACTATATTATCCTACTATCCTTTCTTGTAATAGTATGGACAATAATGCAAAAAACAAACATAAATTGGTCATCAATTGTAACGTGAAGATTGATATATTTAAAAATCACACTAGAGTTGAATGACAAATCACACAAGCGAAGTATTATAGAAAATAATATAAACAATCCCTAGTGGATACAATAAGTTTTCAAAAAAGAGAATGAGTGAATCAACATAATTCTTGATAATGAAGTCCATTTAGGATCTGTGTCTCAAAATATGTCACGTTAACTAGTTTTTGACCGCTTGATAATTTTTCCACTATATTTCAATTTTGCATTTCTTTTTGAGAATAATGAAGAAAATAAATGTATCTATAAATTCAATTTACAACCCAAAGACGATTGAAAATTGTACAATAATCCTTTCTATAATATAAATTACTTACCTGGATTTGTTCAAAACTTTCATCTTATCTTTTCTTTGTTTTCCGTTTTGCGAGTCTCTCGGTTTCGTTTTGCGAGTCGTAACTTTCCAATTTAAGTACTTCTCTTTATTCTTCTGTTTCTTGCGATGATCCTGAAAAAAAACTTCACGAAATCAAGTTTACAGTTCAAACTTCAATGAAATAGTATTGCCTTTCTTATAACAAACAACACAGTCTGAAATGCAGGTTGTAAAAATGCGAAACGTTTCAAGAAAAGAACTATTATATCACTAGTGTGATAAAAATTTAAAGATTTGAGTAAAATATCTAACTTTTTTCTATAATTTGTGAAAAATTTTCAAAAATAAAAAATTTCATAACAATCTGAAATATGAATTATTTTAAATCATGATTGATATAGGTTCTTATTGGAAATAAGGAATATATTGATTTTAATATACATGCTGGAATTAGCCTATACTTAATGAAAAGCTATAATGTATTCAAGTAACCAGATTTATTTTGATTATTTTTTCCCACATATCATCCAAATATTCAGCACTGTTCTGAAGACTCAAATATGTGGTAGTTAGGGAAGCTATACATTATGCTGTAGATGACCCCTCCCGAATGAGGCCCTCATATCCTCCGTTAACGGATGAACAATCTTTCCNGCGGTACTAATGTCTAAGGACATTCATGCCTCCATCCCATGATCAGTCTTGACCCGTTCATCCTTCTGACAAACACCAGTCGAAAGGATAAGGCAGCCAGGCTCCAACCTGGTTAAACCAAGATGGCTGTCGAACTAGAAAATATTAGTATCCGTCTTGACAGTCTAGCTTTCCTTCGATAATCTTCAGCAATGAACTTTTGACAAATACTTTTCTTTCTTTAAATGAATGTCGAATTACTATACACTCTCAAATTCCAGAAACAAACTGTGCATAAGTCACAATAATATTTCACTGTGTCATTTTATGAATATTTATCTCTGTTTCATACTCAACTACTATATATAGATTTAATGAAGAAAAGAGAATTGAAACTTTCTATGTTTTTTACCACTTTTATTTGTAACTAACGTTACAAATAAAAGTGGTAAAAACATAGAAAGTTTCATTTCTCTTTTCTTCATTATAATTTCCTACCACGTAGTAACGGTTACATCCATCAATTTATTGANAAACATACATGAGTCACAATAATATTTCACTGTGTCATTTTATGAATATTTCTCTCTGTTTCATACTCAACTACTATATATAGATTTAATGAAGAAAAGAGAATTGAAACTTTCTATGTTTTTTACTACTTTTATTTGTAACTAACGTTACTGCAGTTTCGTCCTTTCAGGACATTTCCAAACTTATACATTATTCATAAGTATGAATTTGAAAATTTCCTTATTGGACGAAACTGCAGTAACATTAGTTACAAATAAAAGTGTTAAAAAAACAGAAAGTTTCAATTCTCTTTTCCTACATTATGATTTCCTACCACGTCGTAACGGCTACATCTATCAATTTATATATAGATTTGTTATTATATATGTGAATACGACGTAATTCCCAGATTTTTTCAACAATGCAATAGAATACTGCTAATAATCCACACATTGGAAAAGAAAAGTAAGGTCATGAAGTTAAGAGCCTTTCATGAGAATAACATTCAAAGAAATTCTTTTCTTAAGGAATTGTCACCCAAACCCTAGTTCAACAACAATAAAAATTGAAGTTAACCTTACAAAAATTACCGCTAATTGTGTATTTATAACTTTCGCGTTCACTGAAGTATTTTTTCGCTGTAAAAGTTTGGCTCTGTATTCTTGAGTTTCGTGAAATGAAATAATGGGTTGAACATACCGCATCTACAGGCATGTAGAAATAAGGTCTGGCAGCGGCACATTTTCCTCTCGTCGACCTTTTCTTAACCATATGATCGTGAAACTCATGAGTTCCGACACCGAATAACCCCATGAAATCAACCTGTTCCATATGTTCAGGATAAATACTTTCAGGCTGAGGAACGATTTCAATGGAATCATCAGAGAGTGACTCCCGCAAATTTCTGAAAAATAAATATATAATTGAGTGAAGGTATACAATTAAAGTGTATTTTATTAGAAATAAATTGTATAATGAAAGTGTATTCTTGAGTGATGGTGTATAATTAATTGATGATTGAGTGAAGCTTCCCTGAAAAGGTTCAAGCTTAGAACAGGGAGTCGATTTTTGAACATCCTTTGATTAAGAAGTTCTTGTATTGGCATAGATATGTGAATGACGTTTTGGTATGTTTCAAAGGTACTAAGAGACAAATTAGATAATCATAGGGATATTAAAAAAAATTCATGAAAACATTAAATACACTACTGAAGTAGAAGCAGACAACTCAATCAAAATACTTTCCAAAAAAGTTTACGCAAAAGCGATTAGAGACGTTTTTCCTATTGATATGTTAGATAACTAAATATTATTTGAAACAACTTACTCTTCATTAGAACTCGAGCTTTCTGACTCTGGTCGATCTTCTTGCTCTTCGCTGATTCGAGGTTCTCGGTAAGCTCTCATGCGATTGAACAAGATTTTCTGTAAAAAAATGAATTAGAGATTAGGATACCAGGAAAAATTGTTTTTTAGCAATCATTCACTAAACAAATAATAGTGAAGTACTTCACAGCGATTTGTCTGATGAAGGTTAGCGTTTTTGAAAGATTAAAGTCGACAAGTGACTTCAATAGAGAAGCTGTTGATTGAAAATATTAAATTTTCCTTTATATCCCCTGAAGACATCAGAGGTGAGGTAATTGACGTAGTTGAAAGTTTATAGTTTTGAAAAATCTATGTATTAGTTCAAAACTTCACTTTTACGTATTATTCTGTTAGGTGGATCATTATATACAGAAAAATAGAAGAAAATAAAATTCACATAATATACCTGTTCCATGCCGATTCTGGTCACTTCCTGAACCGCTTCGACTGCTGCTCTCCGTAGTTCCTCATTCTGAACAAAAAGAAACTTGTTTAAATTGAAAGGGGTATATTTTTAGGACAGATTAATTTTTTGGAAACAAATGTTTCGGCTTTCTACTACTCGATCTTAATACAAAAAAATATGGGAAGTAGGAAGTCAAAACATTTTTTCCCAAAAAGGAACTTTCTTATGAAAAAGTATTTGGAAAAATTGAAGAACTCACCGTTTCATCTTTCTTCAAGATAGCCCACAGATTCTGCAAGAGAGAAAAACTTGGTTATTAAAATATAAAATGGCTCCTAAGGAGCTTTCACACATAATGAACATGAGAAGTCATATGGACGTCTGAAAAAAAGTTATAAAAATGTACAACTCAGTCGGGTGTTAGGCGTTGTCTAACTTGCATGATCAAGATGAGAAATAAAAAGTGCAAATTACCAGACCTACGAAAACGAAAGTCTGTATGTACTAAAAGTAAACAGCTACGATTTTCGTCAATGTGACAGTTCCAGGTTATAAAGGAGTTTTGTTAAAACATAAATAGAATGACAGTGTTCATTACATTCAAAACAGACACAATCTGTCATTTACAGGTCTGGAAAAAATATGTTTCATTTTATACAAAAAATTATGGGAAACTTATAAAGGAAGAAATAAGCAATCAATTTCTACATGAAATTTGTAAAGAGTCCATTTCGAAATTAATTGCTCTCTTCCTTCCTTTGAAAGTTTTACACAAAAATGTTTTCTTTTAGAAATGTCTCCTAAAAAATTCAATCGAATCAATGATGTATTGATTAATAGTCTGTTTTGACAAGTTGAAACAAGATATCGCAACAATGGGTTTTATGAAAAATTAATCATTATTATCAAATCGTTTTTGGCACCCAGTGTGTGAAAAATTTCAGTAATCCTTTGGGAAATTGAATTAATTATTGAATTTATTTCAATGTACATTTCTCCCCTGAGACCAAAATCAATTACCAGTTTAGAGGTAATAAATAACAACTTTCCAATTTAAGTATACCTAAATAGGCATATGATATTTTACATTTATGATATTTACCCATGCATTAAAATCTGTTGCAAATTAATCTTAGAATAATAGTAGATTAACAAAAAACGTTATCGTTGGTACAAAAGGCAGAGAAGTTATTCACATAAAAAATCGAAATTCAGAAAAGCAGATTTACTCAGTGATGAAAAAAGTTGGCGATGCTTTATAAAAAATTGTAAAATGCATATTACACAAAAGAACAAAATAATTTGTGAAGACACATAGATAGCAGTATTGGGACACACAATGAGAAACAATAATCAATAGAAATACTATAGACACAAAGGAAAGCAAAACATTTCTGCTTAGAAAAACACTTCGACCATGGTGTATTTTTTTGTAAGCGGTTACAGACTAACATACGTGAAACTCTGAAATATACAATGTGTTAGCGAAACACGTCTAGAAATAAGAAATGCTTCTGACTGTTGGTTAATAATTATCATGGAAAATATAAACTATAATGAAATTTGAGAGTACCGTGATATTTCTTGTTGTATCCCAGTTGAATTGAAAAATAAGTTTCGAGCATATATACAATGTTTAAGCTAAGTTAATTTATGTTTCCCCATAATTAATATACGTATCGACACCGGAGCTACGAATATAATTGATCTTATTTCTCATATAAAATCGCTTTGTAAATGGTTGTTAACATAGGTCAGGGTTTCTCAAAGTGTGCGCCCCGGCGCCCTAGAACCTTTACTGGGGCGGCTTGGGCCACGGGTGAGTCCCAAGGTACGTTTTACAACATAGATAACTGAGAGTAAAGGTAATACGTCGGTACCTATTACCAAAAATCCTATTAGAGGATTGTTGTTATCATATTATTATATGATAACATTGTTGATTGCAAAATGCAATCCGTTCAAACAGCCACCTAACTACTTTTATTAATTAAAAATCTAGTGCAGTCTTTACGTTAGGGGCGCCGCGATAACCTTCGAATAACATAAGGGAGCCGTGAATCCGAAAAGTTTAAGAAACACTGCCGTAGGGCAATAAATGCATTATTATTTAGTGTCACTATATTTATTCGGTTTTGAAGGCCATCGATTTTTGAAATTTTTTCCAGGAAAAAATTATAAAAATAGTGACACTGAATACCTTGGCCGCGAAAGTCTTAAGTACTCTGCTTCATAATAGTTTTATTATTATTATTATATTTTTCGAATATCGTCAAAACAATCCTCTATTAATATACAATTAATGACTTACCTGATGTCGAATAATAGCAGCTTGCAACTGAGCTTGCAACAAGCCGAGAGCATCATTTACTTCCTTAGGGACGTTCATGTTAACAGTATGAAGATGGGTTATAATCAATAAAATAATCTAGTTATTATGTACTGGTAAGACTACAGATCACTACTGTAAAAGAAGTTGTATAAATTCTTAATATATACTCCTATTCAGGTAGTAATATCACTCAAATTATTGAAATATTGAACTTTAGGTACGCCTTCATTTGATTTCCTTTACTTAATATTAATCCCAAAAGTATTAAAGGATATGTGGTTTTGAACTAATGCCAAAATTCATTTACAAATTATTCACAGAACAATGAAGAGTATACGTGAAATATATATTAAAGAAATTACGTTTTGAAAAAAAAAGCAAATTTCTTTGGCGAGATTAGTTTTTGCAAAAAAGTCTTCGGGCTTTCTACTTCTCTCTATACTACCATTACATAGAAAATGACGGAGAGATAAAGAAAATAAATTATTATATCATTAGAACCTCTCCACAAAAATGTGTAATTCATGCACAAAAGTTTCTTTCAAACACAAAATGGAAAAAAAATCCTTCTGAAACAACTGATTTTGAATATATTGTATTTGAACTACTTTGATAATCTAATGGCAAACAAGCTGAATATTCCTGACACTATATGTATCAACTTCCATTTTGTATCCTGTTTTATGATAGCAAAAAGTAGTGAATACTCATTTTGAATACAAAAGAGATTTTATAGTACTTCACCGGATCCAGCCTATTTTTGTATCGCAAACTGGTCGCAAACAAAAGATTTCGGGTAGTTTTCTCACTTGCAGTGGCGTCCGTTTAGATATTCAATCAAAAATACCTGTTGAAATTATTATAACTGATTTTTTACATAATGATAAATAGGTTTGCTTATTTAGGAAGATATCAGGTATGAGCAAAGTCATGGTATCACATCATTTATTTCGAATATAATGTTTCTTTTTGCAATAAAACCCTTAACTTTAGCCCAAACTATTAAGCTCGCAATAATAGGGGGGCAAACGCAGAATAATAATATTTCGTTTCTGTCCAATCTTGTCTATTACATATTGCGTCAAACGACCATAATTTGAATATAATATATACAATAGTTTTTTTTACCGACACATTCATCAAATGATATTTTTTTTCTCCATGCATCAGTAGGTAATCTCCTAACTTTTCTGAAATTGCATTATCTATCACAATCAGAGAGTTAGATGAAATGACGTCTAACATTTGCTCAAAATATACTTCAAACACATCGTCGTTCATGTCCTCACGATAATCGCCAGAATGCGTTGACTCAAACACCAATAAATTGCCCACAACTAAACCATCAATACTTTCAATGCTGGTAATAATCATATCAGCCTTCTAAAAATGCATGATGTGGTCTAGTCATGTTTTTGTCTGGCCACATCTTTACAACGATATATCCTTCGTTAAGGCAAGTTTTGACATGAGAATTAGACAGAATAAATCTATCTAATTCTCATGCCAAAAATCTCTTATTTTTTGGTAATGTCACCTCCAATAATTTCATTATTTTCGATTGACATTTACAAAAATTTCTTTCTGCTTATCATCAGAGACATAACCAACTAACAATTTTATATTTTATAACAGTTACGAAAACGTTTTGGAGAAACAAATTATAAAACTGTATTTCTTCCAGAAATATTTGCAATGTGTTTATAAAACAACTATAAGTAGGAAATTGGCACCGTTTCCTAAAACATATACTCATTATTAATATTTTGTGAGGCTTGTTAGAAACTCTAGAAATCATATTCGACTTGAAGGGGTTATATTTTTAGAAGTGATTAATTTTTGGGAAAGAACGTTTTTGGCTTTCTACTACTCCATCTTGATACAAAAAAAGGATGAGGGAATCTTCCAAAGAAAGGAAGGAAGTATTCAATTTGAAAATAAGTAACTCTATACACGGATGTGTAGATCATGTAAAGAAGTAACTTTCAGACACAAACTGAAAGAAAGTCCTCCNGCAGTAACGTTAGTTACAAATAAAAGTGGTAAAAAACAGAAAGTTTCAATTCTCTTTTCTACATTATGATTTCCTACCACGTCGTAACGGCTACATCTATCAATTTATATACAGATTTGTTATTATATATGTGAATACGACGTAATTCCCAGATTTTTTCAGCAATGCAATAGAATACTGCTAATAATCCACACATTGGAAAAGAAAAGTAAGGTCATGAAGGTAAGATCCTTTCATGAGAATAACATTCAAGGAAATTCTTTTCTTAAGGAATTGTCACCCAAAACTCAGTTCAACAACAATAAAAATTGAAGTTAACCTTACAAAAATTACCGCTATTTGTGTATTTATAACTTTCGCGTTCACTGAAGTCTTTTTTCGCTGTAAAACTTTGGCTCTGTATTCTTGAGTTTCGTGAAATGAAATAATGGGTTGAACATACCGCATCTACAGGCATGTAGAAATAAGGTCTGGCAGCGGCACATTTTCCTCTCGTCGACCTTTTCTTTACCATATGATCGTGAAACTCATGAGTTCCGAATAACCCCATGAAATTAACCTGTTCCATATGTTCAGGATAAATACTTTCAGGCTGAAAAAATAATTCTTTCGAAACAAATACTTCTATATGAACACTGAATTTCTTTCGTGTAATTCAATGTTTATATGAAAGTAGCTGTTTCAGGATGACTAATGATTTTCAAATTGATTACTTCCTTCCTTTCTTTGGAAGATTTCCTCATCCTTTTTCTGTACCAAGATGGAGTAGTAGAAAGCCAACAACTTTCTTTTCCAAAAACTAAAATTCAGTTTTATAAATATTTCAGCAGTTACTATAAAATTTTTCTAATTTTCCTAAAAAGTAGTTTTGTAAAAATACTTATGAAATAATTGAAAGACAAGTTTTTAATATTTTTTAGTCGTTCCAAGTGAGCGTTATAAAATATAATGCAGCTCAAAACGATAACTACAAAATAAAAAACTGTTCAAATGTTTTCTTAAAGGCGCAAGAATTATTTTGTATTGAACACTCGTAAAATATAAAAGATATGTCACCAACTGAAAACTAACACACTGAAAGGTCAAAGCCATTTTAGTAGTTTCACTTTTGTAATCATAAAACTGTTGAAGACATTTTTTATGCTTCAAAGATTGATATTTTTAGCGAATGAAATTTTATTGAGAAATATATAGCTCTTATTAGCAAAATATAAGTGCGCCACTCATTTATTTAATGTTTTGGAAATAATATTAATTATACAAAAATTCTCGCTGTCGACGTATTCATTTTCTAGTTGCAAACTCAGTTTGTTCTAAATAATATAATCTTATATTATATACTTTTCAACTGTGAATATCACTACATGTGCAATGAATGTTACTGGAGTTTTTTCCCAACACCAAATCATTATTTTTAACATCTCGACACGTAATATTCATTACTACACCAAAGGTTCCAAACACTGGATCATAAGTATATGTGCAATATTTCATATTTTCAACTCATCTAATGTTAGTATTTCGAATTGCTATCATTTGAAATGGCGTCATTCTATAAAATTATTTGGTATCAACAGCAAGCATTTTAACATTATTTCGCTACTATGTTACCCCTAAAATACTGATAAGAAGCACTTAGTTCTAGGAGTGATGTTCTGACTAAGAAGCTTCTTCCATCGACTATAATGGCTCAATTTCGAATGAGTTTTGAGATAGTGATTTGAGGGTATATTTATACATATTTATCAACAGATTTTAATTATTAATGAGCTTTTTCTATTTTAATCAAGAAAAAAATGAAGCACTAGGTTATGTGGGTCTTCGTTTAAACTAACCACTTTTCTTATTTTTTTTCCAATGACCAATATCACATGACATTATTAGGTATATGACAAATTATACTTCATTATACGACCTCTATAATCAATATCAGCTGGTTCTTGTCGAATGCTGCAATTTATTCTTGGCGTCAGCAAATATATATTCACGGAAGCAATTATATTTTATAACAGTTATTTTATTATTTGGAATTGTAGTCAATATATCGGATATAATAATATCAGGACAGACAATTCCGCTTTCTGCTCCGATAGGTAATCTATAACATTCGACAAAGATTCATTGGATTTATCTAATGATAACACAACATAATTTTTGCTTATGACTATTTGTTATTTTTTGTGAATATTTTGAATTGAAATGTTATAACAATATTGATTGTATATAAATAAATGAAGGTAGTTTAACATCAATCGGTAGATGATTCCTAATGAATCCTATCAAAATGGTTTGTGAACAGACACGACTTTTCTTCATCTGACTGCAGAACAAAATAGTGAAATGAAAATCAATCGCAATATCAATATATGTAATTTCAATGCATTCAAACATACAAGTATTGCACAAAAATATACAATAAGGATGTGGTTATGTGTATAGATTTTGTCGGATCTCCTTCAATTCTTCACATACTTCATCCTTGCCCTGTTCAGTCGTGACCATTTCACACAACAGCCTCATTTTGCAAGCTTCATCACAAGTGTGGTCGTAGTCACTATCACGGTAGTAAAAACTGGAAAGAATACGTATATAGGTAATTAATTTTTGATAAAGGAAAATTATCTATATCTTTTCATCACAGCAGTTATTGTTTCTTACAAAATATGTTGTTATGAGAATTGTTTTTACGTTGACCCTTTTTTTACATTTTGGTGATCAATGTTTCAGCGTTCCCAATAATAAAAGTCGTGGAGTGATTCAAACAATGTTTTGCCCTAAATAATTTTGAATTTGTGAGTAGGAAAGAAAAATCGATCAAGATTGTGCTTCGGAAAAGACGAACTGAACATCTAAAAGTCGGGAAAACTAATTATCTCCCAGTTTTTTTTGCATTAACAGTGCGAATGAGAAACAGTTGCGTATGATGGAATTTTCTGTATTACTGTATAGTTTTTGGTATGAAATCATAATTTTTCGAATGAAAATTCAATCAACTTGTACAATTTAAAATATAAAAATACTTACTTGTTGTACAACTCTATGAATGTATCATTTGAAGCCATATTCCTAACTAACTCATCCAAATTTGCAGGAAGTAAACCGTCCATTCCATAGGCTTCTTTGAACGAATACAGTTTTTTCCACTCAATTTCCTTCATCTCATTAGCTAGCGTAAGATTGAAAGTCCAAGTTTCTGCATCCAATACATCCTAAAATTGCGAAAAAACAATGAAACTTCAGTCGGGCGGTTTATATTTATTCCAATCATGACAAATTAATTTCTCTTGAGTTCTTTATTTTTATTTATTCTTCTTTATATGTGCTGTTGAGCGAAGAGTAGCGAAGTAATTATCAAAACTCGTATTGATTGGTTTGAAAAAAAGCAACGATGTAATAAATTCAAAGACAAATATTTTACCAACGAAACATATTCTTTTCTGAGATGCCGGTCCGTTCAACGTGGGTGCTTTGTTCATTCATTCAAATCGACCGCCGTGTTGGTCGGTGGTTCAAAACGCAGGCTGAACGATCGATTTTCACTGTCTATCTTCCAATCCGTGTTAGAAATCACACGTTAAAATGTAAGACCTCGGTAGTCCTTAGCTCGCACAAGTTTCGACCTCTAAGGATCGCCATTCGTAGAGGTGCGACAGCCGGTTAACGGAAAAACATATTTCAAGCATATTTTTTACACCCTGAAAAACTGTCACATCTCCAGGTATATTCATTCATTTACAAAATTGCTTATTTTTACAAAATAATCAACAAATTTACACATATATACTGTACTTATCAGCTTTATGTAAGGAAAAAATATAAAAGAAGAAAGGCTAAAATAAGACAATTAATTAGAACAGTTTTAAATCTACATTGTAGGTGTTTGCATGTCTCATTCTGACCATGATGAAAGGGTACTCTGAAGATTTCTGCACTCCTTGTTCTCTTTCGAATCACATTCAAAGTTATAAGTTCAACAAGATCTAGGAAATTGATGGATGTAGCCGTTACTACGTGGTAGATCATAATGAAAAGAGAAATGAAAATTTCTATGTTTTTTACCACTTTTATTTGTAACTAACGTTACTGCAGTTTCGTCCTATATGGACATTCTCAAACTCATATAATAAACTTTTTTATTGTATATTTTTGTATTTATTGTATAAGTTTGAGAAACTCCATATAGGACGAAACTGCAGTAACGTGGATGTTACAAATAAAAGTGGTAAAAAACAGAAATTTTCATTCCTCTTTTCATCTGGGAAATTATTGCTACCATTGATTATTTTGTAAATTAGTGATGTATGTACGATTTGATTCTAATCTTCTATGAGCCAGAGTATTCACGGTAGTAATGCCCGATATAGTTTTATAGTTATATTCACGAATATGGTATCCCAGTTTGCATGCAGAGTACCTTAAAAACTTATTTTGAACAACATCAATCATATCAATATTCACATTATATGAAGGGTACCAAGTTGTATGGAGTTGTATTAGATTATCATTCTAACAGTCAAGTAATATATGATTTTCAAAAGAGAGAGAACGGATATCAAATTTCGTGCAAATAACTCATTTTGTGCAAAAGTTATTTTTAAAAAACGAACAAAACATTTTTGGGAAAGAAAGTTTTTGGCTTTCTACTACCCCAAAAACTTTTTTTCCAAAAAATTAGTCACTCCTAAAAATATAACCCTTTCAATATAAACAAAAAAATCAATTTCAACACTCTGAATCTCCGAAACAAAGCATTTCCGGACACAAGTTTTTCTCTTAAAATTGTGAAGGGATACGTCACTTGAAAATTTCAACGTACCTATGTTACACCCTGTATAGTGAATCACTAACCTTACAAGTTTGTTTGAAGGTGATACAAGTTTATTGATCGTACTTATTTGAATACTTACGAATACTTTTGCGTCGATTGTATATAATTTATAATTTGGATTTGCCTCATCAGGCATCAGGGATCCTCCATTCCATCCTACATTCATAGCTTCCGACTTATTATTGTAATAAATGTGAATTTGATCTCGGTGAGTGTGGCCATAGAACTGTGCTGCTACCGTATTCGAAAATCTGAGAAAAAATTTTATAATAAAATTATTCTGTATTTGGATCCTGATTTTCATGCATGGTGTTAGTAGTGTGTCGTATCAAAAAGCTAGAGCCCTTCGTCCGTTGTCTCATCGCTTTTGATGTCTTCATCAGTTATAAATGAAACGTCAAGCCTGAAAACCTACAGATCACGGCCAACTGAACTGGCTAATAGTTTTGACATTCAAAATTTTTATATCTGACCTGTTCTCTGATCATTACTGAGCCTGTTGACTGAAACCACCTGAATAATGGAATTAATTTCATTAAAATATTTCATTGACATAGATGATGGTGAATCTTATTTGAAAGTGTTGGTGCTGCATTTTGAACTACTGTTGCTTTTGATCAACTGGAATTGTTTGACGGGGCGTCTGTTAATCTATTAAATATGTACTTCTCTCTATTGAAGAAATGGCGAGTTTCATAAATTTCGTCAATAAAGCATTCAATAAGACTTCAAAATCCCTTGCAATGAATGTGGACATCGAATAATACGAAAAACAAATTCAAAGTAGCTATGCTGCTAAACTGGTCTAATAATGATTTGGACATTTTTTTGTGAAAAAATGATCTGGTTTCCTACTCATTTCTCATTGAACCATTTTTCCCTTTCTTTGCAATTGATTCTTCAAAGATAGAGATGTATAGAAAGTCCAGAAGCTTTTTTTCCTAGAAACTAATTTCTCCTAAAAATATTTCGTTTTCAATTCAGCAGAAATTAGTTTTTTTGAGATGAAGTTTTTTGACTTTCTACTCTTCCATTATCAAACAATGAATTTGGAAAACTTCCAAAGAAAGGAGGAATAAAAATTACAATAAAACCTCTCTATAAAGATATGTCGATCACACGAAGACATTTCTCCCAGATACAAAGTGGAAGAAAAAAACCTTTCCGAAATAACAAACTACCTTCAGATAAGAATTGAAATACATAAAATTCACTACTTTCCAATCAGTTTGTACTACAGATACTCGTTATGGAATGCAAACAAATCATCAGTAATTAACCCTTCACAATATGATACATAGAGGAGTATTGATGTAAAAGGGCATTTACATGAAACAATCATTATCCTCAATGGTGTACTTCAAAGTTTCAGGTCAAGGCAATTGTTTTATCACCTCATCAGTATCGTTCCTCAGAACATCACAAGATAAGGCATTACGACTTCATATCACAGAAAAAAGACTCCTCTTTTTGACAATCCGGATTTGAAGATGAAGAAAATGCCAAAAAGCTTTTTTTCACAGAAAAAAATTGTTAATCATTTCTTATCATTTTCACAATCATGTTACCACTGAAGAAATAATCAAAATACCGCTCACTCTATCCTAGTTCTTGAAGGTGAAACATCAAACTATAGAATATTGCATTAATGAAGTATTGGTAGAATTATTGTGGAAGAACATTTTCGTAGTAAAACTATCGTTTGTCTGCAGAAAATGAACTTCGCCCTTTATTTTCAGAAATGTTTTTATTTTTTTTAGGTTCACAACTATGAACCAAAAATAAATAGGATTTATACAGTCCCTCCCGTTCTGCTTGAATCTGCTAGTGTAGCAAAAAGTAATGAAATGTCCATGCCAATTAGGAACGCTGCTCGGATTTTCAATATCCATTACAGAACTCCGCAAAGATAATGCGAGAAAATTGGTAACTTTTTTATAGAATTAGCAAAACAATATATGTTGATTTTATGTCAATGTGGATGAATTTGTTTGAATGTATTATAAAGAAGTTTATATTATATGTTGAGTTTTCTATATATTCAAATCTTGTAACAGTGCTTGACTTGCCAAATATTTTCAATGTATTCAAAATGATCAATAAATTACTATATTCTACTCTCAACAAGAAAACACTCACCTCTCGATAATTTTTCTATATTCACGAGCCCAAACCTTCAGGCAAGATTTTGTTGGGATGTGAGCTAAGATGTGTACAATTTCTTCATTATTTTCAGCTTTGTGGAGAACTTCGGCCAGCCATTTCAACTGTCCGTAGGGATCACGGTCATCATAGATCAACCACCTGGAAAATAGTGTCAGGAAGAAGGAGTTGTTGAAAATTTGGCACTGAATGCTCTGGTCATAAAATTATAATTCCGTTACAATAAAAAATATAACTGTCAATATGAACAGAAAATAGTAATCTAAGAAATTAAGTTTTTATAAAAACTACTAGTTGTTGTCAGAAGCCTCGTCCGCGTAGAATTTGGTTAGTCACATTAAGTTTCGTAACAGACTATTTTAAACAAATAGTTACAATATTTTTCATCAACCCGAAACTTCAGTATTCAACTTCAAAACTGACGAAATTCCATACAATCTTTTAACTTCTATTTTTCTCCTTCAGAGTAGAAATTCTTGATTTCTTCTTTGATGCTTATTTACTCTATATAAAGAACCTACCTGCCTGCATATTTCAAGTTTCTAGGTTCAGTAGCTTCGACTGTACGTTAATATAAGTGTGTCAGTAAATACCCACTTATACAATATTGAATAGCATTAGTGAAAAAGTAAAAGGATTACAGTGGAATACATTGGTAATCCCACTCCTACTGTTTAAAAAAAATATGTTTAAAATCTGTTTTTCCGTTAATCAGCTGTCGCCCCCATACAAACGACGACTCTCAGAAGTTGAGAAACTTGTGCGAACTAAGGACTAACGTGTGATTAACGTGTGATTCCTAACACGGTTGCAGAATCATCCCCGCTATAACCAGATGAATTCTCTCGAGAAAAATATCTGGTCAAGGCGGGAATCGAACCCACGACCTTCCGATCGTGAGTCGGGCGCACTACCACCGCGGCCAATTCCACAACTAATATCATTAATGCGTAAATATTGTGAGGATCTATGAATGTAATGTATGTATTTTTTTACCGCTTTTATTTTTAACTAACATTAAGAGTTCAATGTATAAGTTTGAAAATGTCCTTATAGGACGAAACTGCAGTAACGTTAGTTACAAATATAAAAAATATTTCTCTTTTCATTACTATGAATTTATACCACGTAGTAATGGCTACATCCATCAATTTTTTAAGTGAAAAAAGGTTATATTCTTTCTCTATTGTTGTGTCTAGAGATNTTACTTCAACGATATAGGCATCGCACGCCAAGATAGCTCGCATAAGCTTCTGATGTATAAGCTGTATTTATGTAAAGTTTCATCTAAATCCGTTCAGTCGTTTAGGCGTGAAAGAGCCACAAACATACATATATACATTTATCCATCCTCACAAACTTTAACATTTATAATATAAGTATAGATTACTATAGATAATAATAAAAATTTAACCATTCACAACGTTGATACGCACCTGGCCTATGCGTGTAAGAAAACATAAATGTTTGTTAAGTTTGGTGAAGGAATCAATTCTGATTTCGATAGTTTGGCGAAAGCCTAGGGAGGGCCGGGGTTGCTTATCAAAGGAGCAAGTTGTCACAACGCGAAATACAGAAAATGTTATAATATCACATACTTATCTTCCCGCCAGTAGATACAACTTCCAAGACTCCCTAAAGAAAATTTCAGTATAATTCGTCAGTTGACGAGAGACCACCACAGAATTCCTTACAGAAGAGACACTCATTCGGCGGCTCTCCAAGTTTTTGTGACCAACATTCTATGTTCGAGGTGGTTTATGTCATTTTTAAGCGGTAAATTCAGATTATTTGAAACTTATCAGATATATAATTTGATCACACTCAAGGTATTATTACGATATCATATCGGCAGGTTATTAGACCAACATTTCGACAATTTCAACCAATCTAGCTTAATTTCACCATATTCAAGCTCACCAGCCAGTCGACGAAATTCAAGGTTGACAGTAATCACCTCGATATTCTCAATAAGTTCATGATTTCTGCTCCGTGCTGAGTGTCCCTTCTGTAAGGTGTTCTGTGATACTACGTGAGAGTAAATTTTCATATCTTGATATATTGTCGTTTTCTTGAGATATATGAATTTCCAAAGTGAGCATAACATATTTATTTCAGTGTAGAACAAAGCACTTCAAGTGATTGTGATTGCTGTTATTGTGAGAGAATGGATGGTCGATTTGGTTCAAAATGTCGGTGGCGGTAAGTTCTAACATCCACCTAAGCGACATGTTACTGTCATAATATTTCCAATACAAAAATAGTAACAAATAGGTTTGGATAAAACAGAATAACAGAGTTGCTCAAAAGTAATGAAGTGATTTATTGGGGTATCATTCAAAACAAACTTTTCAACACTCGTTCAGTCAGACTATTGAAAAATTGACCCCCATGATTTGATTCCAGATGGTTCACAACTATGAACCAAAAATAAATAGGATTTATACAGTCCCTCCCGTTCTGCTTGAATCTGCTAGTGTAGCAAAAAGTAATGAAATGTCCATGCCAATTAGGAACGCTGCTCGGATTTTCAATATCCATTACAGAACTCCGCAAAGATAATGCGAGAAAATTGGTGACAATGTACTTATCAATGATTTTGATTCGACTTCCAAAGAAGGGCGAAAATCAGCTTTTGACTGTGTAGAAGCTATACAAAAATCAATGCCGCAAAGTTGGTGTGATTCGCAAATGGCAGGTTCTGACCAGTCTACCGGATTTCTGTAGTGACATTCGAGATTATCAATAAGAACAACACAATCAACAAGCTTATTTAGGGCTACCAGCTTCAACAAAATTAGCATTACAAGGTTCTTCGACAATTTGGTCATCATTTTTGCCCAAGTGAGATCTATAACAGGAATGAAACCGGTTTGACAACCGTACAACGTCCAGACCACATCGTGACTATAAAAGGATTCAGACAAATTGGTGCACAAAACTAGCATTGTAGCCATTAACCCCAGCAACCTAGACTGATATGTATTAATTCCTTTGGAGCCATGAAGTCGATGATTTCCCATAATTGAAATTCGAATTCCTTTCAGAGTATAATTTCTCGAACTAGGCTGAAGCGACAGAACTCCGCAAAGATAATGCGAGAAAATTGGTGACAATGTACTTATCAATGATTTTGATTCGACTTCCAAAGAAGGGCGAAAATCAGCTTTTGTCTGTGTAGAAGCTATACAAAAATCAATGCCGCAAAGTTGGTGTGATTCGCAAATGGCAGGTTCTGACCAGTCTACCTGATTTCTGTAGTGACATTCGAGATTATCAATAAGAACACCACAATTAACAAGCGTCTTTAGGGCTACCAGCTTCAACAAAACTAGCATTACAAGGTTCTTCGATAGTTTGGTCATCATTTTTGCCCAAGTGAGATCTATAACAGGAATGAAACCAGTTTGACAACCGTACAACGTCCAGACCACATCGTGACTATAAAAGGATTCAGACAAATTGGTGCACAAAACTAGCATTGTAGCCATTAACCCCAGCAACCTAGACTGATATGTATTAATTCCTTTGGAGCCATGAAGTCGATGATTTCCCATAATTGAAATTCGAATTCCTTTCAGAGTATCATTTCTCGAACTAGGCTGAAGCGAACGACAAACAACATGTTTGTCATCGCCCTATCTGCCCATGTACAAGGTAACCACTGATCTGCCTTTCAACATCTGCTCAGTTAAGGCTTGGCATTGAATTAAGCACACCTTTGACATCTACTACATCTAACATTAAATCTTTGGTTTCTCCAGAAATAATTCGTCCTCTACCAGTCCGCTATTTCAACAGATACTCCTGTAAAAGATGAACTGGAAGCGCAATAATTATCGAAAGGAATAAAAAGGCAAAGTAATAAAACGACAATTGTTTTCAAAAAAACGGGTGAACTTCAATAGGAGAAAGAAACAATCGGAAAAATTTGAGGCAGCATCTCCATCCAGAGGAGAAGAGAAAACATCTTGCCTAGTATGTAAAGACTAATTCAGTGATTTTGAGTCAAAAGAAACTTGGCTGCAATGTATCTGCTGAAAAAATTGGTCTCATGAAAAATTGCAGATGTTCTTTGTGATTATTTTCTTATATTGTTGTTTTCGTCAGTTTATCACATTATAAAACGATTTATTTTTTATGGAGCAAAATCACTTTTTTATCGACCTTCTTTGGATATTTTCACCTTTCGCAATCTGAAAAATGGGAAAATTGTAATGGAGAACTTCAAACAGGTGTAGAAAGGCAAACTTCTCAGTTTACGATAGATAGTATTCTAATGAAGGAAGAAAATAAAACAAAAACGACATGGGAAATTATCAACGCATTACAAAAAAAAAACTAATCAAAAGGATTTGCTATTGGCAGAGCAATTGTTAGTCGATGAAATTTTATTAGCCAACAAATTCAATTTTAACTTTACCAAAGCACCTGTGGCTAACTTAGTGTATGACATTGACTTCATAAATAAGAATGTACCTCTGTGTCCTAACACATTTTATATGTCCCCAATAACAGAAAATGATCTCTTAGAATTAATTCTCAGCTTGAAAAATTCAACATCCCTTGACATGGATGGATTTAGTAATACTTTTCTGAAACAAATTGGTGTCAGTATATGCAAACCTTCAACAGTATTAATTAACTTATCAGCACAAAAGGAGATTTTTCCAGAAAAACTAAAATACGCAAGGGTGTGTCCAATATACAAAAAAAGAGACCAGAGTGATCTGAATAACTATACATCAATAAGCATTATTTCTAGTACCTACTTCAAAACTATTTGAGCTGAATATGAAAAACCAGCTGTGTGCTTTCTTCGACAAATATAATCTGCTTTCGTCATCGCAGCATGGTTTCATTGAAAAGAAAAGCACAGAATCTGCTCTCTGTGAATTTCAGAGCCATATAATGACAACAAATTTGTGATGGGTCTATTTCTTGATTTCTCACGCGCTTTCGACTTCGTCGATCATAAGCTAATGATTTCTAAGTTATCGAGATATGGTGCCAGGCGAGTACCCCTGCACCTTCTAGAGTATTTTCTAAGCAATCGAAAGCAAGTTGTGAAACTTAATCACTCCCACTCAGATACCTTACACATACCTCAAGGAGTTCCGCAAGGCTCGATACTGGGACCATTTCTCTATGTAGTTTATGCAAATGATCTCATAAGATATCTCAACATGACTGACAACTTCAATATACATATGGTGTGTTATGCCGATGATACTAATGATACTAATTATACTAATGTATTAGTAGCCAAGAACGATCTGAATGCATTGAAAATTGTAGCCGAAAATACTCTGGAACATGTGCTGAAGTGGTCGAAAAACAATAATCCAAATTTAAATACATCAAAGACCAATGCTTTGTTAATTACTCTGCGTGAGCACAATCTAAACTACAGACTTTTTGATGATAACCCCAGTGAAATAGAAATGCTGGGTATAACTTCTGACGCAAACTTAATCTGGACCCCCCATATGCACGAAACTGAGAAAATCGTGCTCCTCTTTGAGGTTTATGGCAAATCATTATAGTGAAGAAAATTTTTCCTATCATAAAAACAGCTAAGAAATTATACAATATTTATCTTAACGTTTCGAGGTCTGAAATCTATCTTCGTCTTCAAAAATGGACGAAATTCAACCTTATTCGCAGTTTTTCTCTTGCTGACTATTTTTTTATCAACTTCTTCGACAGAAGTCAATTTTAATATTTTTCAGATTGTGAAAGAAGAAAATACCCAAAAAAGAGCGATGAAAAATCACATTTTTCTTGTCATTGCATACAAATCATTTTTATACTGCCGTTTAATCAACTAAAGACAACTCACCCCGTTTCTTGTAACAATATTCCCAGCTAACAGGTATGTTGTCACACTGAACAAGCACTCACGAAATATCATTTGCCCAGCGTGTATTCATTATTTTCATTATGACTCGCTGTACTCATTTGCAGCATTACATAAACCACCATATACAAAAAAATGCCACCTGTGACAATTAGCATCGATCAATCCGAATAATATTTCACATTACAGAAAATTACTAAGGAAAAGTACTGAGCCAATTTTCTCAAAATCAACAATTCCAATTTTCATTTTGTCAAAGTAAATAAAATGTCTTGAAATTAAATGAAGTACATTTTCATATTATCTAAAACTAAATCATCATAAAATCAATATAAATTCAAAAACAATACTGGGAATGAATAAACATAAAATATATTAGATCGATTATTTATGACTTTTTAGGAAGTAGGTATATAGCACAAAAGTACGTAATGAAAATAAATCAAATAGTATCGAGCAATGAATTGAAATGTTTCGGAGACAGTCATTACCCTCACCAGTTTTCTGTAGAGCAGACATTGTTATTCAGAACCACAATTCGTAAACCTTTTTGTGCTAGGACGGTATAGTATCCTCCTTTGAGAATGGTATCTTTCACTTCATCTTTCGGCAGCCATGACCACTTTTCCAAAATCATGTCATATAGCCATTGGGTGGATAATGATCCATTGATTTCGTCTGGAGAGAATCTGAAATATTAATTATTTTCATTTACGAATTCTGTGTTACCACAGTTACAAAAATTGTAGAAGCTCATATAACCTTTCTTCCTAAAGTTGAAAATAAGCGACTTATGTGAAATATTCATTTATTTCACTAATACAAAAAATTCTTTGTTTTGGCAAATAAAATCTCGTGATTGTTCAAACACTCAATTTTGGTACTTATACGAATAACAATATTTTGTTATTAACAGCAAAAAGAAAAAATTGTGCTTGGATTTGAACTTGTGAAACTCGTGATCATCATGTAGTACCACTCACTTACACCACTGAGCTATTTGGTATTAATGTACAGAACAATCATTTCCATCTTAAAGCCATTCCACTAGCTGTATTTATTTTGTGAATCAAAATTTGTCTTCTATAATGAAAACATTGAAACCGTTTTTGTACAGAACAGAAATTAGGTCAAGAGTGAGTAGGTCTATTCGACCTCCACCGCAACTCGCGAGGTTTTATTGTGGCTCACGCCTATTTAAACTCGACCAAATAAACCCAGCTTTTCGACGAAGCCGATTAGTTAATATGGTGAGTGATCTTTCAGGTCAGATGGTAAAAGTGCTGCTGCTGTTTCATTATTTTTCAAACAGAGACGACACACTGTCTTACGACAGTCCGAGTATCTGCATATGATGACTCAGATGACAGTGAACTATAAGGAGGCATGTAAGACATCGTAGTTCATCCCTACTGTAGTCCAACAACTGTTTGGTTTCAAGCTTCGAAGGGTGAATGAACGCCTTGGAGTGAGCCAATCCTGGAAGATTTCGCCAGAAGTCTTCAAATCTTCTTGCCATCCATTTGTTCAATGTTTTTTTGGCAAAACCTAAAGCAATGCCAATAACAGGTTCTGGTCCGATGAAGCTACTTGCAGCACACTCTTTTGCAAGAGAGTCAGCAGCCTCATTGCCTTCCAAGCCAGTGTCAATTTGTTCAAACGTCCCATTGGAAAGAGTCGTTTTTAACAATTTGCTACCAGCTTAGACGTTGCTCGGTAGGAGCCAAGAGCTTCTAATACCGCTTGACTGTTCAAGACTTGACTTTCGCTTGAAATACAGTCGCATAGGCTCCTAGGTAGGTTGATATCTCTGTCCTGGGTCTGCAACTGAAAACACCTGCACCAGAGCCTGAAGGTATTTTTGATCCATCTGTGAACCATTAACCATCTGCCCTTGATGTTTCCTTGTCCAAGAAGATCAAATCCTCTCTACTCGGGAAAAGTACTATACAGCGTGACTCACAGTCGATGGTAGGTTAGACGTTTCTGGAAAACGCAGAGCATGATTTCTCTAAAAATGCCACCTCTCACATTTCCTTACCTGTTCTATCGATCTAAAATATTTTCAGCATTGCGGCCTTGCAATTTCCATCAAAAAGTCCTAGCAACTTTATTTTTTTAAATGGAACACCCCGTATATTAATAACTTAATATTTTATAGCTCTTTATTCGTAAAAAAAAGAAAATGTTTGGACTATTAAAAGAAACAAATATTTCGCTCATTTTCAACTTCAGGAAGGAAAATGATTCGAATTTTGTCGTTGAGAATGTTCTAACGAACCGAAATGCGTAACAAAAAATAGTGTTCCATTTAAAAAACTATCATTTTTTGAAATATTTCAAGAATGCGACTACAATTTTTTTTTTGTTTTCGGCATTGAGAAGGCCATTAACAATACTACTAGTTTGCCCATCTAACCGAATTCGTAGCATCAATAATAACGATGCCGAAAAAAAATGACAGTCGAGTATTCAAAATGTTTCATAATATGATATTTTTTTAAATGGAACACCCTATATTTTATCATGCATTTCGATTCGTAATAATATTAAATCAACTAAAGCCATTTTTTTGAAAGTTATAAACGGGTATGTCTTTTTTTTTCAAAGTAATACCTTCACACACATTTTTCAAGATCATAAAAATACCACTTCTTCAAGTTGAATTTTCAAATAATGGTTTTTATATAACAGGCGGTCCCTTGAACGTTCTTTTAGTGCTGCGAGTTAACGGAGGAAACTTTCAAATTTGAATGTTAACAAAAAAACAACAAAAAAGTGCTCTAATGGTGATTATGCAGAGGTTATGTAGAGGCTGAATATATTCTTAACAATAACGAGAATTTCAGGTAGATAGGAGAGAAAATATGAATGTAGAGTGAGCGCCGAAGGAATGAAAGAAAGGGCTGAGTACATGAAAGGAAGCATGAAATGATCAGTAAACGAATATTATATATTCAATAATATATAAGTTTAATAAGGAATAACACTTCCAAAATACAAATCATGAAATTATAAAACAATAACAAGAATTAATTGGCGCTCCGGGGCGACTGCATTGATTTCATTTGCCTTTTCAGCTGCAGGAAAACCCGGAAAAACCTGCAGCACCACATCATCTGAAGATCTTGATCTGCCAATGTTATCTCTCTCATAAAACAAAATGTAAGGTGACACGACTATCGTCAAACTTTAATATATTCAATATATGTAATTGATGAGTTAATGACGAGTAAAAATTAGATTTCTTCAGTACAATAATAAGGAATTTCTGTAAATTAGGTTCAAAAATATTGATATGGAAGGAAGGGAGGCAGCATAAGAAGATGATTGAAAAATAGGAAAATTTGATGGAGAAATGAAGGGGGTGGAAAAATTAAAAACATTCTCTCAGAATGACAATCAAATTGAGTCAAAGGATGGAGAAATCAGCAATAATGATTTTTCTCTGATATGCTCCTTTTTATCGTCATAGGATATAATTTTTGCTGGTGTCCCCAATTCCATACAATTGGTTTGTCATTCTGGGAGAATTTGGCTTTCTACTACTCCATCTTGTTACAAAAAAATGTGGGAATCTTCCAAAGAAAAAAAGAAAGTAATTCATTTTAAAAAAGGTAACTGTATACATAGATGTGTAGATCATACAAAGGAGTAACTTTCAGACACAAATCTGGAAGAAAAAGCCTTCTTGAAACAGCTTCTTTCATATAAACATTGAATTACACGAAAGAAGAATTATTTCGAAACAAATATTGTACGGAAAACACTTCTTTCTACTTAGTTTGTATGCCAAACATTCGTTATGAAATTAAATCAGATATCATTCACAGGGTTTCTATACACTATATAATAAATGAGAATAAAAATTTCACTTACATGGAACACTGTCATGCTCAGTAGTAGACATCGATGTTTCGCCTCAAGACACTTGCCTTAGGGCTCTTCAGTACCAATCTGGATAACATTATAAGAAAAAACACCACGATTTTTTATGTCACGAAATAAGTTTGATCTACTTATGTCATCGATGACATCGTAATGACATTCATTTATTTTATTTTTTTTTTCATTCTTCCGCTCCTTTCATTCCTTCATCAAATTTTTAATATAGTTATTCAGTTATCATCTAATGCTTTCCATTTTTGACTTCCATCCACTTTCTTCTTTCTTTACCGTTAACCTATGCACATCATTATTTTTGAACCTAATTTACTTAAATTCCTGTCATTTTTTCATCAGTTTGTATGTATATATTGAAAATGTTATATATAATTGAATATATCATTTTGGTTTATCCCTAATTTACTTAAATTCCTGTCATTTCTTCATCAGTTTGTATGTACATATTGAAAATGTTATATATAATTGAATATATCATTTTGGTTTATCAATCATTTGATGCTTCTTTGTCATTTTTTTAGCCCTCTCTTTCATTCCGTCAGCGCTCACTCTACACATTCATATTTTCCTCCTACCTGAAACTCTCGTTATCGTAGTGAATATACTGCCACAGTAATCGAAGGTGAATTGGATATTAAGTAACGTACCTTCAATTATCATTATTATGACAGTAAGGTCTATATTACTTCAAACCTCTACTTTTTCCTCACTATTTAATTGTCACTTTTGTTGTTTCTGGATAAAATCTTTTTTGTTCACACTGAAAGTGTTTAATTCCGAATGAATTGTATAGCTATGTTGAGAAGTAAAAATTAAAATTTTTCCCACAATTATGTCTCTCATTATAGGCTCTCACCTATATCCTCTTCATATTTTTATGATTCTCATCCAGATTTAAAAGTGTCCTTCGTTAACTCGCTACACCGTCTAACTCCATACATGCTATTGCTATTGAAGTCGCCATGCATTCAAAGGCAATCAGTTGTGGGCCTCCATACCACCACTATGATATTGAAAGGACCTTCAGGGGACCACCTGGTACATAAATACATCATTTCAGGTACCAACAAACATTTGTACACTCAACCCCCCACAACGAAGAGTGACTGTGGAATGTCTCGACACTGAAGCGAGTATGCCACACACCTCGCTGCCACAGTGTCAAAAAGATAGTGGCTTTAACTGCAAGTACGTCCTCGCACCATAGAGTCCTCGTTCAGTCTGAACACTTCGGTTCGACCTTAAGCTCACCCAGCCATCCGAGTGTTGAATACCAGCCAGTGGAGGAACGTTAGAATGTATCGAAATGTCATTGAAATGATCTTCAGGGTTTCACGTTCATGACGTAACTCAAGGGTATGTGACGTCGCATGCACCTCAAGATCAAGTCATATATGCGGAGGGTGAAAAAAAAGTTTCAAGGTCAAGGTCAGTATGGAAGCAGTGAGGAGGATAGTAGTAGAAAAAGGTTCAGAACCGTCATTAGCACTATACTGACGTACTTTTTTAGGAATGGGTGAAGATTATGATTTGGAGACCGGTGAGTCAGATTTAGGGAGAACCTGATTTCAACTGAAAAAACATAAGATCATTCAATTCTTATCAATCGCCTTCTTTCAATGAATTCAGATAACTGATGAAGAAACAGTATACTTACACGTTTACTGGATGTGCTTCATGATTTCCCAGGACTGGATACACCGGTTTCTTGTAATATTTAACAAACTGGTCTAATATTTCAGTGATTATTTTCTTATTGCTCTCTACACTTGTATCCCAGACTCGATGGCTCACCATATCGCCAGTGAAATAGACGTACTCAAATTCCTGAAAACAGACAGTCAATAAGCATCAAAATAATGTATACTGATTCCATCAATTGTTCAACGGTAGATAGTGAGCGATGTAAAAAAACTAGTGTTCTATTTACACAACATATCATTCAATGTCATTACTATCATTCTGTCATAATTCAATGAATATTCATCGTGACAAAAAATATATCGGTCAAACTAAGTGAACCATTAAGTGTCAATAAATCTTTCAATAAATCACTCTTAAAATTAGCGTTCACGAGAAAAATTTTCCGCGTTTCAGAAAGTGAAAGTATATCCTATTCAGATATGAAAAAAGAACAGTTTCGGAGTTGAGAATCAGTTTATTTTATTCAACGAAAGTCATTTTTTTGTGGAGGAAAATCAGTTTTTTATCGACCTTTTTTGGGTAAAAACCTTATTTTCCTCCACAAAAAAATTATTTCCCACATATCATTCAAATATTCAGCACTATTCTGAAGACTCGAATATATATCAGTCAGGGAAGCTATAGATTACGCTTTAGACGACCCCTCCCGATATAGAAGGGCCCAACACTCTGTCGAATAAGGCCCCTATGTCCTCCGTTAACAGATGAATAATATCTTCATCCATCTCACCTCAGCCAGGTAGGGGTATACTGCGAAGGGCGGCACTGATGTCTGAGGACACTCATGCCGTCACCAATGATCAGTTATGACAAATTTGTCACCCAGACGAAAACCAGCTCAAAGGGCAAGGGAGCGAGGCTCCGGCCTGGAAGAACCAGATGGCTGTCGATGGTAAACTAAAAATTTTGCCCTTTTACACTTGTATAAAGTTCTCCATTGAAATTTTTATATTTTTCAGATTGTGGAAGGTGAAAAATACCCAAAAAAGGTCGATAATAAACAATTTTATTTCCTTAAAACGACAAATTGATTGGTAAAAGTGCGTCGAGAAAAGTATTGCAGGACTGGTGTTTTGAACGTATACAATCCTGTATACCATATTACAGTCAGAGATTTGCGCCATATAAACAAATTTTCACCTTCCACAATAAAAAAAAACAGTTGTGATGGAGAACTGCATAGAAGTGTATGTTGTATTTTTTATTAAAATCTAAAAGTGTTTCGATTTCGAAAATTCAAAGTGAAAAAACTATTTGATAAATTATTTCGAACGATTAATGCACCATTTTTGAAGGCAAATATTTTTGAAACAATGAAACAGTTCATTCCAAAAAAACTTCTTTTTGTAAAAACTCAAATAGTGATTTTCTTACATCTGCTAGAACTCAAATATTTCGATTCGAGTTGACTCGAGGTGTAATCGATTGCTTTCGATTTCGTGAACCTATTTTCACTATATTTCTAAGTTGTAAACAGTAAATAAAATATCTTGTTGAGCAATTTAACTGATTTTCTTTTTCTGAAAAATTTACTTTTTCGCAATACTCTTCAATCGAAAGTAATACACCTCTCATATATATTTTCACATAAAAAATAATCAAAATTAATTTCTCACAACCTCAAAAACAAGACTCGTGAAATACACCAAATAACGGAATAATGGTAATAATGACATGATGGATTGATTTAAATATTCCTTCAGCAAAATGAGTTTGTATTATCTAAGAAAATACAAAGTGTGTAGTACCAATAGTCTAGTAGCGAGCTACCTATGTTTTCTGCCAAAAATTATTAGAAGAATCGAAATGTTATGGGCGAGAGCTCATTAAATGCAGAATGAGATTCTAAGAAAAAAAATTTTTCTACTACAAAAAACAAATAAAAACAAAAAACCAAAAAAGTACAGCCTCAGAATTTTTTATAACTCGAAAACAGTAAATGATAGGATCAATCACCAAAAAGATCCTTGAATAGAAGGAAGTTTATACTAAAAATAGTTTCGGTTCCCCAAAGTCAAGGTCGATTAATTATTATTACTTTTTACGCGCTGTTGAGAATCGGGCTCCGGCGGCCTTTTAACCGCTAGCGAGTCACCGGTAGAGAGAGTATAACTCAAAAAGAATATTTTTGTAGGATTCAACATGGATGAAATAATTTAAATAAATTATTGTGTAATTTGAACACTATAAAGATGAAAGATTCATGATGGAAAATTTTTTCCTGCCATTGTTAATCAAGAATTATTTTATATGAGTACTTATTGAAGATCTTATGGAAAAGTTAATGAAAAGTCATTCATTCAGTTAGTTAGTTATTAACAGCTGATTAACGGAAAAACAGATTTTTTTTTAAACTAATAAACATCAAAAAGATTGAAAAAAACATGTTTTGTTGTTGAAAATTATGTTTTATGTATATGTTAATATTATTGATTTCATCTTTGATTTACCCAATAATTTATCAGGAATTTCTTTTGTAAGATATGTTTAAGAAATGTCCATAAACAAATCCATTCATTTATTATTCAAAAAAGTTTTGTAATATACTCTTCGCAGCAAATAGTGATTTTTGGAATTTTTTTGGAAAACATTTTTTTATCAAATGACCATTTGAACAATTGATTGAAAAATCATCCCTACTTTGAAAATCATAATTTCTCATTCACTATATTTCAACAAAAAAATTGATTTATTCATATTTCAATTGTTTATCAACAAAAGTATTTGTTACAGAGTTGAAAATTCTTCGTATATATTCGTAAATTATTCGTATATAGGTTTTTATTGAATCTGAGTTCATAAACCTATTTGCTGATGATACGTTGCTTATGTGTAGCGATATGAATTTAGATAGAGCTATTCATAAAATGGATACAGAATTTTATTGAGCATTGAAAGAGCCCCTGTCCATAATTTTCCAGCCCTTCAAACAATTTTCCGCAGAAAACAGACTTCTCGACCGGACTACAAGTTCAGTACTTCTGAATGAAAACCAACTACAATATTTTCACATAGGACAGTGTATACTTACGTGAGACTGTGTTTGGTTAAGCATTGCTTCAATCGTGTGCAAAGGCACATCAGCGTTCTCTGGAGAAGACCAATAACCACAAGCATCACTTGCATTATTAGCTTTTTTTTGATCGTTTTGACAGCACAAAGGTTCCCCACAATCTTTTGTTTTATTTTCTGTATACAAAGGATCGTAATGTAAATCGGTAAGATGAAGGATGTTGAACTTTGTTTTTCCGTCAGGCTGAAAAGTGGTGGCAATGGATAGAAGTCAATTAATAAATTCAACTTGATATCTCTAAATGAAATTTGTATTAATTTCAATGCAATTATCGAGAAATTTCGGATTTTTGGGTAAAAAAAATCAGAAAATATCAATGAAAATCACAATGAGAACTTGTATGTGAATATTGTGAATATTCACATACAAGTATCTCATAGTATGTTTATGTTATGTCATTACAAAGATATATGTTTATCTGCTTCTTCTGAAGAAATGTATAAACTGCAATAATCTTACTTTGAGTTCAACACATTTTACGTCACATCAAAACGTTATCTCAGAGATTGTTGGTGTCACAAATCTTTTGCGTCGTTATCCACCATATCTGATCGATGTAGATGTCGGATTTTATATAATTATGAAAAATATTTATTTCCTCAGTTATCAAGTCTCACCATGAAGAGACGCTCGTATCATCTGCATTCATAAGGTTAGTTTTGATCGAACTTATGGATTTTAGATCTATTATGGGATACTAATAGTGAATTTGTTATTTACACACTTTGATTAAGGACTTGAAAATGATTTCTCAAAGCATAGTCGAATAATCTTCCAGAGGTGGATTCAATGATGGTGGCAGATTTTTTTTTAATAATACATTATGTGCTTCTGTGACTCAAAACCAAAAGGTAAGAAATAATGACAAAACATGAAGAAATTTCATAGGAATCATATGAGTGAATACAGACTTTAATCTTGATATCATAACGAAAATTTTGCTTTCATATTGAACCTAATATGTGAAAGATTGAAGTGTTCATATGTTTATGAATGCAAAGCGCTTCACGTTATTATATTCAGTAAAGATAAAAGGTTAGAAATAATGACAAAACATGAAAAAATTTCATGGGATTCATATAGGTGACTTCAGTCTTGATAGCATAACGAAACTCTTACTTTCATATTGAACCTAATGTAAAAGATTGAGGTGTTCATATGTTTAAGAATGAAAAGCGCTTAAGGTTATTATATTCAGTAAAGATAACAGAAAAAAATGAATAAATATTGACGCCTATCATCTCAAAATAGTTCAAATTGACAATGAAACCGTTTCATATAGAACTTTTTGAACGACCTAGAAAATGTCAGAGGCGTTTTGTCCGAAAAACTATGTTGGCATAACTTACTGGAATCAACCAATAAACACATAAACGAATATGCCTATACACTGGTATAGCGATTCATTCGTGTAGAATTTTAATGCAAATCTGTGAACCATTATGGCTTCTCGATTTCATTCACGTGGCCCGCTTTTTCAAAAGAACGCCGGATACCGTTATGTTGATGGTATAGTGTTGCGAATTCTAGAACGTGATGATGTAAAATATTATTATAGGTTATGTCTGTGAATATTCATTGAAGTTTGCCGATTTGTTTGAATTACTTTTGTGAAGTCCATGTTTTTCAGTTTGTGTGCATTGTGAACATGTTATTTCAATGAGAGCATTGGAATGGTAATATCAATATTACGATAACTGAACATGTTTGCTTTTCTGTGTCACAACTGTGAATTCTTTCTGGTGATACTAGGTGCGTTTTGTTCATATTAATTTATTCCAGATCTGTCCGTCCTGCAAAAATACGGAAAGCAGAAACAAAAACTTTTGGCAGGAATCAGATTAGTGAGAAGAAACGCAACTATCAACATCATTTATAAATTTGCCAATACCACGACAGAAACTACGTTTATTTTTTCGAGAGACTATACGTATCTTTTTGAATTGAAGGGGGTAAACTTTAGGCAACATTGATTTTTGGAAAAAATTTATAAATACGGAGAAGTAAATAGCCAAAATCTTTTTTTTAACGTATCTTTTGTTCTTATATTTAGATTTACAAACTCAAATTGCCTTTCATCAATATTGAAATGCACTTTTCAACCTTACGTTCAAAATGTAACGTTATACTTAGGTTAGATTAGATTAGGTTTAAAGTGAGTGGGTTTACTCGACCCTCCACCGTAACCCACAAGGGTTTATTGTGACTCACACCTATTCACACTCGACCAAATAAACCCAGCTTCTCAACGAAGCTGATTAGTTTGTATGGTGAGTGGTCTTTTAGGTCAGATGGTAAGAGAAAGGCTCTTTCGAACTCTAAAAACCGGATTTGGTGCCCAGCGGGCAGGCACAAAGTATATGCCCTACTGTTTCATCATTTTCCGAACAGAAGTGACACACACTGTCTTCCGACAGACCGAGTCTCTGCATATGATGATTCAAATGACAGTGATCTGTAAGAAGGCCTGTTAGACATTGTAGTTCATCCCTACCATACTTGATACCAACAGCTGTTTGGTATCAAGCTTCGAAGGGTGAATACACGCCTTGGATTGAGCCAATCCTGAAAGATTCTGCCAGAAGTCCATAAATCTTCTTGCCATCCAGGTATTCAATCTTTGTTTGGCAAAGCCGAAAGCAAGAGGTTCTGGTCCGATGAAGCTGTTTACAGGACCCTCCTTTTCAAGGGAGTCATCAGCCTCTTTGCCTTGTAGGCCAGTATGGCTAGGAATCCAGACCAGATACAATCTGTTAAGTCTTCCTATCGAGGAGAGTAGCTTTTGCCAATTTGCTACCAATTTAGACGTTACTCGGTAGGAGCCAAGAGCTTCCAATGCCGCTTGACTGTCCGAGAATATTTTTATTGACTTGTGTATGAGGTTGGATTCATCCAATCTCTCCGTACATAAATCAATAGCGTAAATTACCGCTTGAAATACAATCGCATAATTTCCTAGGCAGGTAGATATCTCTGTCCTGGGTCTGCGAATAAAAACACCTGCTCCAGAACTGGGAAGTGTTTTTGATCCATCTGTGAACCAACAACTATGTGCTCTTGATATTTCTTTCTCCCGGAAGATCCAGTCCTCTCTACTCGGAAATAGTAGTTTATAAGGCAGTTCGTAGTTGACATTCGAAGGCATAAAGTCAGAGGTCAATTCCATAATGCTGTGACTTTCAGTGTCAACCAACAGTCTGTTGCAATCTGCATTGAATTGATTTGTGCAATTGGCAATGTGCACATCTGCTCCCTCAGGCACCAACTGTGAACATCGTCCAAAGTGCTTTGGAGGATATTACAAGCTACCCTTCCCGACGTGGACCTTGCCAGAATGACAAGGTCATCTGCATACGCTTGCAGATCAACTTTTCTTCTGTCGAGGGCATCAAACAGACTATCCATCAAGAGCGACCACATATCACAGAAGGGGAGAACGTTATACTTTGGAACACCACAAAAGAATCATTGTCACATCATTTTACCCAGTATGTACTATCCAACTAGCGAACAACAGATCGAACCTATCAGTTACCAGCAAAGATAATTTTTGAAATTTCACATAATCATATTATGTCAACAAACATTAATTTGTATGTTTTTCACGATAACCCAACTTATTTGTTTCTAAAAAATAGTAGTTTTGACGACATCATTTGTCAAGAATCAATTGACGACTAAAATAAATATACATAGTGACTATTTTGGCACTATTTCTGAAATAAAAGGACATCCCAGCATCCACCAGTGTATAGATACCTTCACATAAACTTTCCTCTTGTGTCGTTCCGTTCATCGATGAAAATCATATGAATAAACATTTGGTAGTTTTTGAGTTGCTCGCGTTCAGACAAAAAATTGTAGTGGAAGACTTGTTAGTGATAAAATGTGAGGACTAAAATTTGTTGCAATTAATGTAACGAAGACATTTCGAGTGAGGCTTTCATAATATGATTGCATTGTATTTATCAGTTTAGGAAGTGTTCCAGAAAGTTTTTGATGTCTCAAATCTGGTATGTGAAAAATGTCTATTGAGTGCAGAGGTTCTGGTTTTCATCTCAATCCAAAATGTTAGTTTGTACTCTTTGTCAACTTTCTCAAATCATAACAATGTCATAGAATGTTAATTGCTTACCTTGGGTTTTTTGACTGTATTTCCTGGTGGAATTTCAATTTCCCATTCGTAATTGTTACCTTTCTCACAACCAATGCTCTGTAATATCAGTGCACATATTTTCGTTCCATCAATTTTGGTTTGATTCTTCACTATGTATGTAAGGATATCCTGAAATATATTGTTTTTGCAAATACATTACTTTTTCACTTCATAACTGAGCTTCACCAAATCATAAATGACGTAACAATTCCTTGTTGGAGATTTACAACAAAAATGAATTTGAGCCACATTATATTTATATATTTTTGATTCGATGTTTCTATGGTTGTATGTTGATATATATTGTCAAGTTCAGTTGTTAAATTTTACTAGAAATAAAAATTATAAAAAGTCTCCATAAAGTTCTCATCATAAATATAAAGTATCTTCAAACAGGTTATGGGCCCAGGCACGTTTCAATGAAACTGGCATATATAAGTAAAACTGTTGTTGATATGGATGTGACAAAATTCAACATAGTTAGGCTGAATAGCAATAATTACCAAATATGGAAATACAAGGTTGAAATGCTTCTACTGAAAGAAGAACTATGGAGCATAGTCACTCAAAACCCACCTGAACAAAAAAACAGTGATTGGGATGCAAAAGATGGTAAAGCGAGAGCTACAATTGGTTTACTAATCGAAGATTCACAAGTGATACATGTTAAGAATTGTAAAACAGCCAAAGAAGCTTGGGAGAATTTAAGGAAACAATATGAAAAACCAACTCTCACCAATAAAGTTTTTCTGCTGAAGCGGTTATGTAAAACAACATTACCTGAAAATGGTGACATGGAAAAGCACATAGCTAATATGATGAGCATTATCGATCAGTTAATCACATTGGGAGAAAATCTAGCAGAGAATCTACAAGTAGCACTACTTTTATGCAGTCTCCCAGAAAGCTATGAAAAATCTGGTAACAGCATTAGAAGGAAGGGCAGAGTGTGATCTGACTCTAGAAATAGTAAAAGGCAAACTAGTACAGGAGTATCACAGGCGGAAGGAGAATTCCACATCAACTAGTGAAATGGCTCTAAAAGTTTACAAGAAATGGTCTGTTAAAAAGGCATTCGAGCACTGCAACTCGCAAAATGTGATATGTCATTTCTGTAAAAATATGGGACATATGAAGAAAGATTGTTTTTATTATAAGAAATCGAAAAGACAATCAAATACAGCCAATGTAGTTTCTACAGATAATGAAGAAACTTTAACGTTAGTGATAAAGCTCAAGCTCATGAATGGTATATAGACTCTGGAGCATATGACAAACAATAAGGATTTTTTCAAGCATTTCAAGGATTCGCTGAGTGAAGTTGAATTAGCCGACTGTAGAAAAGTTCGTTCTTATGGTGTAGGAACTGGACAGTTAACTTGTATTCTGGATGACAATAAGAAAACAGAAATCACAGTGAAGGACATCCTTTATGTACCCGAGCTCGGTACAAGTTTACTTTCGGTCAAGAAATTAACACTTCTTGGATTCAAAGTCGAATTTGATAAGCAGCATTGTTTCATCAAATCAAATAATACAGTTGTTGCTCAAAGAACGGTGGTTGGTAATTTATATAAACTAAATTAGTACAATTCAGCAATGACTGTATGGGAAGGCTGTAATGACGGCTGCATTCATTTATGGCACAAAAGGTTTGGCCACCGTGATTCTACCATTATACGAGAAATTACAAATAAAAACATGGTGAATGGAATGAAAATCAAAAATTGTGTACGTTTATCGACATGTGAAACTTGCATTAAAGGTAAACTGTCAGGAAAATCATTCCCAAAGAAATCTTTGACAAAATCTACCAAAGTATTGGATTTGGTGCATACTGATGTTTGTTGTCCCATGCGTACTATAACTCCTGGAGAAAAGAAGTATATACTCACCTTCATAGACGATTATAGTATATTTATCTTCTCACTCAGAAATCCGAAGTATCAGAGAAACTTCAAGATTACGTCAGAATGGTCGAAAATAAATTCGGCAGAAAACCAAAAATCATCAGATCTGACAGAGGAGGCGAGTATATGAACACAGAAGTTAGGAATTTCCTGAAAAATGAAGGCATAGAAATGCAACTCACGGCGCCATATTCAAGTCAGCAGAATGGTGTAGCTGAACGGAAAAATAGATATTTAACAGAGATGGTCAGGTGCATGTTAATTGATGCTGATCTACCAAATACTTATTGGGGCGAAGCAACCATGACAGCAAATTTACTTGAAAATTTGGTTATGACAAGGTCAACCAATAGGATCCCCTTTGAAGTATGGCACGGAAAGAAACCAAATGTAAATCACATCAAAACCTTTGGCAGTATTGTTTATGCACATATTCCTAAAGAAAAACGCCATAAATTAAGTGAAAAGGCAAAGAAATTCGTATTAGTTGGTTACGAAGCTGGTTCCAAAGCATATAGACTTCTTGACAGAACCACTGGAATAATCACCATTAGCAGAGATGTACATATTTTAAAAGAAGCTCATAGCGGATTTTATCAAATGAACGAGTTTCAAAACATTAAAAATAGAAGTGATTGTGAATGTCAAAATGACAACAGTGAAGTTGAAATATCATTTTGTCAAAAATCTACAACTTCTGATGGAAATATTCATGTGAACGCCGAATTTCCAACAGAAAATATTGAAGAATACTCTACAGAAATGACTGATGAAGAGACTGGTATCCAGAAAGTTGAATAAAGTGTAACCTCGAAAGAAAGTAATGCGGAAATCCAAGATGAAGTTCACGGTTTGAGAAGATCACAAAGAATAAATAAAGGTGTTCCAGCCAAGAAATATTCTGAAGAATTTTCAGTGGAAAACATTCAAACCGAGCCAAAGTGTAGAAATGAAGCTCTACAGAGGAGAGATGCGAACAAATGGATCGAGGCTATGGACGAAGAAATACGTTCCATGAAAGATAATAATACTTGGACATTGACTGAATTACCACCAGATAAAACGGTAATTGGAATCAAATGGATTTTAAAATTAAAAACCGATAATTAAGGCAATATATCCAGATATAAAGCAAGGATTGTTGCTCAGGGTTTTTCTCAAAAATATGGTCTTGATTATGACGAAGTTTTTGCTCCAGTTGTCAAACAAACAACATTTCGTCTTCTCTTAACCATTGCTGGGAGGAAGAAAATGCACGTTCATCATTATGACTTCAAAACGGCTTTCCTAAATGCGGATTTGAATGAAGTAATATACCTGAAACAACCCCAAGGCTATATTGAAGAACAAAAACATTCGGTCTGCAAATTGAATAAAACTATATATGGATTAAAACAATCAGCTCGAATATGGAATTCAACAATAAACAAAGTTCTCATTGATATCGGTTTTAGAAGGGGTGATTATGATCAATGTAGTGCACATATTTTCGTTCCATCAATTTTGGTTTGATTCTTCACTATGTATGTAAGGATATCCTGAAATATATTGTTTTTGCAAATACATTACTTTTTCACTACATAACTGAGCTTCACCAAATCATAAATGACGTAACAACACCTGACTTTCTGTCTTGTTACTCAGAAACGAATCCTAAAAAAAAAAAAAAAACTTCAATTTTTGTTTCGAACATACCCGCGAAATCAACCCCTTGTAAGCAGCAATCACCCCCAATAGTTTTTCAATTTCATTGGGTCACATAACTCAGTGAAGTTTTATTCAAGAAAAAACTGAAAAATGTTTTTCTCCCGCTTCGCGTCGGGAGACAACACAACCTAGAGCTAAAATCTAATACTTTTTTCCCTTGTATGATGAATAACTATTTTTCCTGTAAATATGAAGAGACATTTCATTTTTCAATTTCATAAATGAATGAGAGTTTGGTAAGTACCCAAAAAAAAATATTAGTTGGCAACATCTCTTATTGGAGTGAGTTTGGGACACGATAAAATTATTCTCTTGTACGATTTTGCAAGTTTCAAAGTCTATAATTATCATTTTGATTCAGCAAATATAATATTGTAGAGCCATAATTCAAATGGGGTAATATAGTGTTATAAATTATGGCTTTTGACCATTTGTTAAATAATTTGAATAAATGTGAAGGATTTCAATTTTTGTAAGTTTTTTTTATATATAATATAATCGGCATGCACTTTGAAATTCAATTATTGGTGTACAATAACACCTAGATCCTAGATATTCGAATGTATCTACCATCTCAATTATCCCATTACTAATTTTTATATGATGCTGACATTCGATACTCCCTCTCATTTTCCATCAATTCAATTTCTTATATTTATTTTCAGCAAACATGCACATCAGCTATGTATATTTCACAGTGTGTTCTTGATTACCTCGACAACATAGTCCCGAACCTGAGAAATGTAGAAGAGTATCATTAAAAAACAAGAGAATTGAACATCTTCCAGCATTAATCATTATGTCATCAGTACAGAGTAGCAACAACAGAGATGTAAGTTCACGTCCTGGTAATATATCTCGATCATTTCTCAATTCATCAGATAGTACTTACTCTGTTTAATATCAGTCTGCTACCGAGGTAATCAACCAGCCACGCCAAAGCCTCTCCAACAATGCCAATACTCTAGTTTTTTATCAATCGAGATCTATTAATGGTTTCAAATGCCCTTTGTAGTTCCAGAAATCTTCAAATTGCACTAATAATTAATTCATTTTTAGTTATCGCTCAGTTTGTTTCCCAAATAACAACGAGTTACAACGCTTTGAAATTGTTCTAACCGCCATTTTGTTTTTGGACATTTTGATTTTTTTTTTGTCTCTGTCATCTCCTGATGATGCTAACTTGGTAACAAAATGCGAGAAACAATATTTTTGTTCTGGTGCGAAAAAAGAGTTTTCAATACTTTCATTTGACACCATATATTTCGATTCTCTCAAATAATAATAATAATAATTGATTTCATCAATAGGAAAGAAAATACAAAGAAAAATATATACATAAACAAAAATATAACCTATCAAATGGCAGGATTCAATTTCTGACCATGCTACAGAGAAATCGCAACATGAGCAGACCTTGCTCTTCAATCCAACCAAATCTTCCATCCAATTTGTTAGAGGTTTAAGAATTCCGACTCCCTTTCCAGTGATTTGATATAAACTTTTTGAAATCATTATATAAATCTTCGGGTAAAATGTGGGAGAGCTGATGTGTTCTTGGGTTTGTAATAAATATTCTGCGTTCCGCTTGAATTAGTTCCTATGTGGGATGGTATTCAAACTATGTCCACCACTCTCTTCATTGTGGGCTAGTTCATCTTATCCAACTGTATTTCGTATTAGAGAAAAACGTTTTCAGGGTGCAGTTGGCGTAGTCTTCAAATTGCTGTCAGAGAGTTTGAAAATATCACAAAATTACCAGTATTCCAAAGCTGATTCAATGTCGTGAAATTTATTAAAGTAGGTACTGAAAGCAAATGGTAGGCTTAACCTATTAAGAATAATTTCTCCACACCAGAACAAAAGTCTCTCGACACCCGTTTCGCTGACCAAGTCATCATCATTAGGAGTTGAATGAAACTAACCAAAACAGTATTAGTTGCCGCCTATATTCCAACGAACAAATCGTAAACTGAAAACAGTTTCGCGAGCTTTAGGGGCAGATGAAAAAACAGCTCTCGAACTACAATAACTGATGATACCAAATTGGATATTACGCAACTGGATATTGTACTTTTTGACGCATGCTGTAACACCGTCATTTGACCTCGAATGACTTCTGTTAGAAAAACATTCCCTGACTCAAGAACTGGGCCTCTGATGTTCAATAATTCTCCCTCAAAGTTGTAAATGTCCAGTACTAGTAACCATACAATTCGAAATTCCATCGAAGCAACACTGATTATAATGAATGTTATACAACTATTGGAAAAATCTTTTATATTTTTCCAAAGAGCGCATCGTTCATTTTTGCATTTATTGCATTCAGGTTAACAAATGTGATGTAGAGGTTATCATTAACCAAAGAAATGAGTGGAACGCTAATTTAAATTCAGTATTTTAACCTAACCACACAAATCAAACTAGTTAGTTCTATCGAACCAACAAAAAATTATGGAAAACTTGAAGGCTATGCAATGCCACCAAAACAGTTATGTGATGAAATTGATGGAAATTCATAACTTATTCAAGTAATACTTTATCATGAGATTTTCATTGTACAGTTTACAAAACCGCAACATCGCTATACAATAGCTTCCCCAAGCCTTTTCATATTGAAAACGTTCGAGGAAGCTATTGTATAGCAGAACACGTATTGCAGTTTTACTTTCCAGTGAAAATCTCACAATAAAGTGGTACTTGAACACCAAAATAAACTAACAAAATGAATTAACAGATGAAACTTTCAAGATGGCGACTGGGAGCCATCTGGGAAAAAAATTAAATGGAAAGGGGGGTCTGGTGACACATATTTTTGAAGCTCCTGACAAATGCTTCGAAACCCTAGAATATAATATCAATATCTTCAACCACTACAAAATGGCGGAACTTTTAATAATTCAATAATACATTGACATTTAACTACATAATATGAGGTAATAAGCTGGAGGTCAGTTCAGAAGATGCTCGAAATGGTTGCCTTGAACTTCTTAACATATGAACACCCTATTCGATATTTCACGCCGAACATTTTCGAACACTGAAACGTCAATATCTCTACAAATATTTATTATTCTCTACCGTGTATCCAATATTGAAGCAGGTTCAGTTTCGTACACCATTTGTTTCGAAAAGCTCCATAAAAAAGTCCAAAGGTGTCAAATCTCGCGAGCGGGCTGGCCATTCTGTAGGACCTCAACGGCCAATCCAACGACCGGGAAAATTAGTATCCAAATAGTTTCATACTTGTCTGGAGTAATGTGGTGGTGCTACATCTTGTTAGAACACAATATCCATATCGAATTCATTAGGATTCGCTTCAACGATTTCAATGATGAGAGGGTCAACAGTAGTTTCCAGCATATTCAAATGCAGTCTCCTGTTGAATTTTAATCAATATGGTTTCCCAATATTTCTGCCCAAACGTTAATTTTTTCTGGATATTGGGTATGTGTTTCCCGGAAAATGTGAGGGTTGGTGTCACTTCAATAACGACAATTTTGTCTATGAACATTGCCGTTTGAAAAAATGTACATTCGTCACTAAAACAAATATTATGGAGATAGGTACGATGCCTTGCAATGGTTTTCGTCATGATTTCGCAGAATTCTGTTCTTCGATCAGGGTCATCTTCAGTTAATTGGTGTACCATTTTAATTTTGTATGGATGATACCTATTCCTCTTCAAAAGTCTCCGCACAGTAGAAGAAGACACCTCATAAACATTCGCGACGAAATGAGTAGACTGTTCAGGATTTACTACCATCTCACCAATTATTTGCACTTGCTACAAGTTCCCTCAAATATTTTCTAGAGATAGGACGATTCGGAAAACGTTCATTGAAAATCATTTTGTTCTCGTGAAAGTTACGCGTCGCGCCGTAAATAAAAATCGCTTCAAATTTTTCTTCCAATGGACGAGAATTGGCCATTTTAGAAATTGTTGACGTGGTATCTTTCTACTAGTAAAACTGAAAACTAAATGAGAATATTTTAACTAAACAATGATGTTCATTGTCGTACTGACCTTTCTTTGTCATTTTTATAAGCACAAAATAACTGTTGTTGAAATTGTCATATGGCAGATAAAAAAGAATATTTCCAGAAATATCGTAATTAATGTGTTTGACTTCAGGAAATTATTTAATGTTTGTTTGAAGGTGATTGACAATGTTTCATGATGAATTTCACTAGTTCGGACTTCCATTGTCTACTATATAAAATGATTTGAAATCCCCGAAACAACTAAAAAAGAAGAATTGAAAATGAATAGCTGAAAATAACAATTATATTAACCAAAATAAACCTGAAATGAAATAATAGTGAAATAAAATACAAGTGAAAATAGAACAATTAAATAAATAAAAATGAAGAAATGAAAAAAGAAAATCACCCGAAGTCATCACCCGAAGACGATTGTAGATACTAACAATCGAAACGTCGTGAACTAACGTGACTTGGAATCTCTCCACTTTTTATTTTTATTTATTTTTTTTCTTTTCTTCATTTTTATTTATTCAATTGTTCTATTTTCACTTGTATTTTATTTCACTATTATTTCATTTCAGGTTTATTTTGGTTAATATAATTGTTATTTTCAGCTATTCATTTTCAATTTTTCTTTTTTAGTTGTTTCGGGGATTTCAAATCATTTTATACAGTAGACAATGGAAGTCCGAACTAGTGAAATAAATTATTTAATGTTCCGCCATTTTTTGTAGGTGAAGGTATTGCCTTCATATTCTAGGGTTGTGAAGTATTCGTGAGGAGCTTCAAAATAATGTGTCACAAAACCCCTCTTTCCTTTCAATGTCGGATAGGCTGTTCATATGTCAAGAGGTTCAAGGCAACCATTTTGGGCATCTTCTGATCTGACCTCAAGCTTTTTAGGTCATATTATGTAGTTAAATGTCAATGTATGACAATTATTCAAAGTTCCGCCATTTTGTAGTAGTTGAAGATATTAACATTATGTTCTAAGGCTGTGGAGCATTTCTCAGTAGCTTCAAAAAGATGTGTCACAAGACCCCCCTTTGCTTAATGGCGCCCAGTCGCCATCTTGAAAGTTTCATCTGTCAATTTCACTTCAAAATAAAGTATTCATGCAATAATTTCATTATCTTAAATTTCAATTTTTTGAGTTGACCCGTTCAAAAAATAAAAGAGGAAGGGGCTATACTTCGTCTTTCGATTATTTTGGGTGGGTTGATCATTTTGGGTTAAACGGCGTCCTATTAACCTTCCAGGGTAACCAACTTAGGGGCCTTTCCTCCTAAATTTAGGGGGGAAAAAGTGAGATGGAATTTTTCATGGTTCGATGCACGCTAGAATGGAATGGTAGATCCTGCACAACATTTCAACCATCCGCAAAAATATTAAAATTATTCAATGTTAGCATGTATGACTCTAAAAAACCAGAATTTAAAGAAACTGATTTGTAACTTGAAGTTTCTGATAATTAATGAATGAAAATATTAAAAAATGTTGCTGAATGATATTATTTTCAATGTATCATTTATGTAAAAATATTAAATTATTTATGTAATGAATAATAGTTTTTTAGGGGGGATTCCTAGTAATTGTGGAGATTTAAGGTGTTTTCAATTGGGGCTTTAGGGAGATAAATTCTTGAGAGTTGGGAAGACTGGAAATTTCCGTAGTACTCAGTTACAGTTCAGCAAAGCTTTCGACTGTCATGCCATGACTCACTGTCATAAGCGTGGGTAACGGCCAAGATGTGTGGCAAAAAAATAAACTATGTTTATCAATGCCCTGCGTACATTCTGGCTGTCTGTAAAAAAATTAAGTTCTCATTTTGTTGAGGCCTCAAATTGATGATCCTTGCACATTAGATTGCATGTGCTATCTCCTGGAAGCTGGATATGTCTCCTTGGTTTGTGAATTTTGTGTCAAAAGTATACAAATCCCTAAATTTCTATTTTGCACGATTTCATAGCTCAGTGAGTCTTCCAGTTTGGCTCATTCTTGCCTCACTCATTGTTACAAGATGGTGCTCTTGGTGTGATTCTGATTGTACCGATCATTCATAAACAAGCAATTTTTTTCACCTGGTCTAGTTCGTTAAAAGCGGTAGCTTGTTTCATCTTTCACCATCAAACTAGAGATGCATGAGTTATCACGATTTGTAAACGTGACATGGGTGGGTGACATGAAAAACCTTTGAGAAATTTTGACAAACTCGATCTCCAAAACTATCATTTTGAAACTATTGTTTTGATCGATCTTCACTTGCTACCGTCCAACCCGTGTTAGGAATCACACGTTAAAAGGTAAGACCTCGTTAATCCTTAGCTCGCACAAGTTTCGACTTCTGAGGGTTGTCGTTCGTAGGGGTGCAACAGCTGGTTAACGGAAAAACAGATTTTCAAACAGACAGATAACAATTGCAAAGGGAATATTTTTAGAAGAGATCTTTTTTTTTAATTTTCATAAACAGTTTCATTGTATTCATTTATTCCTTCCCTCATTTGGAAGTTTACAATATTTTTTGGTTAATAATGAAAAAGTCGAAAGCCAAGAAGTTTTTTCCCAAAACAATGTAAAACTAGTAAATAAATATACTCTCCATAATAAAAATACTCACTGCGTTAAGAGTAATAACGCCTTCACAAACATTTTCTTTCTCGATATTCAGTATAGAACAAAAATATTCTATTTCGAAGATAAGTTGCGTTAGCGTCATTTCATTTTTCATTTCGAATATCAACGTATCTACCATTAGATGGCATAGTGTACAAGTTTGGTTTACATTCATAGAAACTTCGCCTAGGCCTGATGAGAACTTCTTTTGTTGTTGAAACTGTCTGAAAATCCTTTCCCATAGAGGTATTTTGACTGCATTGTCATCATCGAAATCTACAAAAAAAATTGTTAGGTAAGTAATGCATGATGGTTATTTGTTAAGGTAATCTTTTTTTTAGTTTTTTTTTGATTTGCTTGAAAGAATAATTGTTTCATTGAATACATTGAAAAAATGTAATCTTATTTGTTCATTCATCTATTTAGAATTAGAGATACAGACCCAATAAAGTATCCACTGATAAATTTTATAATGCAGAAAACATTTGCTGTTCTCACAATCAATAACGATGGAGAACAAATACCTACTAATACCTGACTTGACCCATAACTTCTGAAGACAACCAGATTAATGTCTTAGCATATTTTCACGCATTTCCTGGGTCAATGATAAGGAGTGCTGAAGAAGATTTAGAGTCCGGAGTAGGTATGTGTCTGGAGTGTAATAGTGTTTATTTGGACAATGTGATCGAAATTTCTAAAAATGGTATGCTGACCATGAAAGGTCCTTCAGACTTGGTAAAAATGATTCGACGTTTTCAAAACATTCTTTGGCATGCAACCACAAGTTCACGAATCTAAAAGATACGGAAATTTTGCACTATGCAAGAAAGGATTGCAAACTCAATTATTGGGAATCCTTGGAAACTCATAAGCATACACATTGCGGGTGCAACCTGTTAAATGATAGATAAAATCGATCTAGTTTACCCACCGGTTTTCAAATTAGCATATCCACATTATCACAAGTAAACAAAATTCAGGTACTCAAGCTAAGTATGTCTTCTGGACTACAATGGGTATAAAGCACTGTGCTATGCAGACGACTTAGTCATCTTAGTCCAGGGTAGTGAAGGGATGCATGCAGCAGGCCCTGAATATTAAAACAAGATGGACCGAAGAAGAAGGGCTCAACATAAGCCCATCCAAATCGACCATAGTAGCATTCACCAAGAGGACTAAAACGGAGGGTCTCGGACCTCTAAAACTTCGAGGTGAAGAAATACAAGTGTCGGGGGAGGTTAAATATTTGGAAGTAATTTTAGATTCCAAACTGACCTGGAACCAACAATGGGACAGGATAAAAAGGAAAGCGGAGGTAGCACTGATGCTCGTCAGCCGCACCTATGGAAAAACATGGGGGCTAAAAACAGACATAGTATATTGGCTATACATGATAGTTGTTAAACCCATGGTCTTCTGGTCAAAGATAAAACAGGCGACCGCTATCAACAAACTAGGCAAGGTGCAAAGACTTGCATGTTTGGGAATGACGGGAGCAATGAGAACTACCCCAACAGCTGCATTGGAGATACTTCTGAATCTACCTCCTTTACACATGGCCATGATGGACCAATTCAAACTGGAAAACTCACCGAACTACAAAAGATCGAACCGAACAGAAATTTCGGAACATGTAGAGGAGCACATATTGAATATGTGCACGGACCACATGACGCCGAAGTACACCTTCAACACAAACTTCACGGCAAAAATCATAAGCCGTGAAGAGTGGACGATCATTAGTCATCCCGAAAACATGTTTGGAAAAAACATCTGGTATACAGATGGATCGAAGATCAATGGAACGTTAGCTGGAATATACCTAGCGGATAGAAATTTAAACTACAGTTATCCGCTAGGACTGTACACATCCGTCTTTCAGGCGGAAGTGTATGTTATCTTGCAGTGTGCAATATAGTACTTCAATATAGTAGAGATCGGCTCAGAATAATTACAGGGTTACTAACCGGTCATTGTCTGCTTAGAGGACACCTGAATAAAATGGGGCTTCACAACGGAGACCTCAGCTACAGAATATGCAACGGAGGGATAGAAACAGTTCTACACATCTTATGCGAGTGTGAGGCACTGAATCAGGAAATATATGGACGTACAAAATTACGTCCAGAAGAATGTGACGAACATCCAACACGGAACCTGTACAAACTAGTACAGGGAACGAGACTGATAGACTGGGTGTCATAAGAAGATGGGAGAATAAACACAATAAGCCCAAGAGGCTGCAGTGTTTTCTGGAGACTTGGACTAAATGGACAAGTCAGACAGCTCCCAAGGGACCAAAAAAAAGTACCTCTATTATTACCTATAGTGGTGTTATATAAAGGTTAATGTGATCAATCATTTTTAGTTCAATGGATAAGTTTGAAAATGTCCCTATAGGACGAAACTGCAGTAACGTTAGTTACAAATGAAAGTGGTGAAAAACATAGAAAGTTTCAATTCTCCTATCTTCATTAATCAACTTTCAATCACTTTTTCAGGCAAACTAAAAAACTGTATGATTTTTCCACCCTGTATTGAAGTAACAGAGATAACGCTGAAGTGTGGGAGACCAAATTCTGGTACAATAGTATTCTTCAACTCAAAAATATCAGCATTTTTAGAGGTCACGATTTTCGAAGTGATGTAGTGATAAATTTCTGGAAACTTTGACATTCAGGTTATGATTTCCTATTCTGTGTTCTGGGTTAAATTCATCTGTTACAACCAGTAGAAATAATGACAACATCCGATTTATTTGTACTAGAAATCGTTCAGTTTCTCTTGACATTTGGACCCCTTAAACTCAAGAATAGCGACGCAGAAGCCAAAATAGCGGTCTCAACATTTTCATGTAATAATGATTCATTCTTTAGCCCTTCATAAGATTGTGGAACGGCACTATTACACTATCTCTTCTATGAAGTCAAAAGTAACATTTTTTAGTCGGACCGACATACTGTCCCCGACCTCGCAACATATCTGGTAGTTATTCGGGTTACGTAGTACTTTTAGTGAACCAGTCAGAAGATGAACACTTTGTGACTGAAGCACGTGTCGAGGTGTTAAAAATAAAGGTTTGGTGTTGGGATAAAACTCCAGTAATATTCAAGTTGGACCTATAGCGATTCTCATAAGTACAATATATACGTGCAACACCATGCTTTGTTCGAATTAATAATAGTGTATTCCAAGGGTATGGAAAATAAAAAATAGTAATCAACAGGATAGTTTTTCGGTAATGAAATGTAACAGTGAAGATATTTGTTAATAAAGTCAGTATATTAAAAGATTATATAGTTAGGTACCACATCAAACATATGGTTGTACTTGATAAATACCACATCATCCATAACACTACTTAATAATTGAAATAACAAAAAATCTCACCTTGTTCATTCAAAGTATAACAGCTTCTAGTGAAGACCAACAACACCGTAACAGCAAACAAAAAAATATAATTCGGAAACATATCAGAATTTTTTTTGAATTGTTCAAAATACACCTGTTTTTCTTAACAAAACATTGAATGAGACTAAGGTAAAAGTACAAATAGAACGAAATTAGTTTTTTAGGAGAATAATATACTTCAGATAACGGTTTTCATATCAGTACTTCTGATTTCCTTATCCAGATAATTTCATGAGGATTTGAAGTGGCTGTCGCCATTACGTTGAATGATTTTGCAACACGTAGGTAATGTGGAATAAATAAATGAAGTAACATTTCTTTTTATTTGTCAAGAAAACTTTTTCAGAAATGGTATTATTATAATTATTCGAACATTTCTTGGTGAAAATAATACGTGCAGAATTATTTAAATACAATCTAAAAATGACACATGCGTTGGAATTGGCTGATACTTGATGAAAATCCATAACTAACGTATTCAAAAAACACTTTATTGTGAGATTTTTACTAAACAGTTCTACAAAAAACGCAACACATGCTTCGGGCGTGGTTTTACACGCTCGAAGAAGCCATTGTCTAGCGAAACACGTGTTGCGTTTTTTGTAAAACTGTTTAGTGAAAATCTCACAATAAAGTGTTTTTTGAATACTTTAAAAATAATACGTTAAGAGGTGAAATCTCGTTAGTCTTTATTTGCTCGCAATAATCTAGATTTTTGAGAACCGATTAATACTATTCATTATTTCAATTGAAAGGAATATTTCCTACTCCGTCGTTCAGATACAAGAGTAAGGCGAAAGTAACTAAGTCGATTGAAAAGGGATATTTTAACGTCCCTGGAAAAAGTCTTTGTTGTTATTCATTCATAGAGCATATCGAAATGAAACAGAAAACCCAACTGAACACCTTTTTGAAAGCTTGACTGTAGCTATATGTGCAGCTGGGAGTTATAATCATGCTCGTGCACAGAGACCCTATGGAATGAACTCACAAAGGAGCTGAGAGTTACTACGTACTGAGCTTTAAAAGACTAACCACTCACAACAAAATTCATTCTCGAGGCCAAACTCAACAAGATGCAGCTGTTTTCCATAATCTGAACCTAGCTGATGCTATTTTGTGTTATGGTGAAAACACATTTATTATTTAATTATATTTTCAATGGAATGCAATTTTCATTTTGGAGAATGAAACCTCCAATATAATCCATGTTTCGTTTTGGTTAATAAATTTTTCTGCCTACTCAAAACTTGAGTTTATCATTCATTTCATCGATTCTTAATTTACTCGAACACTTTCAAATCTACTCGAATACTTTCGAAAAAGAAACATTTCAATATTACCACCGAAAAGAAAGAATTTATAATTTTTTGCAAATACCTTAATAAAGGAACAATATTGTGTAAAGGAAGACTAATAGTCAATTCTGTAATTTCTTTAGGATATTCTCTTCATTAAATCGTGAAACAAAATTCAAATCCTCCCTACATCCTAGACCTAGAAAAGATACTCTAAATGAAGATATCTTAATATAAGTTCAAAAAATAATCACTTTATAACCCCGGAAAACCAGAATTTACAACAGCTATTTCCTGAAAAATATTTTTGTGAATCATCTCCTAAAACAACTAATGCTGGCCGCCGCTGGCCCTCGGAAATCAATTGTGCCGTGGCCAAGATCGCGAGCAGTCCAGCCGGCGTTTTGCGGTTGTTCGCGTCGTTTCGATGGAATTCCGGCAAATTCTCTATCGCTTTCGAGGCACTTGCCATATATAAACATCATTCAAGTGCATATCAATAAAGCAACATTGCTCGCACGCAGCCGCCATTTAATATGAATGATACTTGTCACTGTCACTGTAATCAACCCTATTTATAAATGTTCACGTCTTTACCTAACCACCAGGCAGTGAAATTTAGTTGTTTTGGTTACTTTATTTATTTTCTAACAATAATTCTGGAATGACATCCAAAGGCGGTACTGTGTGTGTTTATGGTGAACGTTCTTCCAGATATAACCAAGAAGGACTTAATTTGTTTTCCGTTACGAAAGATCCAGTGAGGTATGTATCAAGTGTATCAAAAATGTCATTGGTTCTGAACCACAGATTCTCTTGAAAGTCAGTGACACTGAATGGTTCTACGAAATAGGCATAGTTCTTTTCATTTTTTGAACTGTGTGCCTGAGGTAAGATTTTGTTTTTGGTTTTGACTGTCGTTTTGCGTCTAGTATTTTCGAAGAATTTTTTGGTTGAGCATTCATTCTTTCAAATCTGAGAAATGGGTGAAAGCATGTAATAGAGAAGATTTGCTTGTGAAAATGGTATAGGTATACTCCTATGCTATAACAATTTTCAATCGAAGGTGATTCATTAGCAACGTCGCACTTGAAGTGACCAACGGATAATCCTCTTACCAACTCTGCAGAGGCCTACCAAAATAATATTTTTATTTATTTAAACACATAGGTAATTACGTAAAAATTGTTATAGAAGATGGCGCTACCTGGTGTCAATGGTAAAGCTGATTGCATTTTCTTATTATGCCTAATACAGTTCTTCAAAAAAACAGAAAAATTTACAAGATAATTATTATGTTCCTTTTATATAGAAAGACAACTACAAAGCAAAGAAATAATTACCTATGTTATGCTTATGAAGTTTCAGAATCCGAACTCGTCCGAAGAGGAATCCCCATTCACACTTAAATCTATTATCATTTGGTCGAAAACAGTGTCTACCATCTCGTCCGATCTTCACATTTTCCCTTCTTTCTTGATCACATGGGCTACAGTATTAGCCCAATCTTCTTTCCGTATCCGTTCCATTGCGAGTTCTAATAAACGTTGGACATCAGAAATGTTATATGTCACGTTTTCACGAGCTACGTAACCCTTAATTTGAGCCCAGATTAATTCTATCGGGTTTAACTTGCAATGGTAAGGAGGAAGTCTCAAAATGGTGATGCCTTTTGCACGAGCTATTGTATCCACCACATGCTGGCGATATCTGTCACGATGCTGTTTAATGACACTCATAAGCTAGGCCTTAACCATGTCTTCGGAAAATGGAATTCCTTTTTGTCCTAACCAACTCTGCATGTCTGTTTTTCTGGTGGTCATAGTTGGCAGGTTTTCTACTAATCGGCTGTGATAAGAAGCGTTATCCATTACTATTACTGAATTTGGCTCGACTCATGAAAGAAGGGATTCAAACCATCTTTAAAAGCGTTGGGCGTCCATGTCTTCCTGATAATCCCCCGTTTTTTTGGATAAAAATATTAGTGCACTATCATCTAAAAAGCCACCCTATTTGGGCGACAATTAGTCGTTGCCCTTTACCCGTTGGTCCGCGTAATCCTGTTGATAAACCGTCCACAAATGCTTGACGATAACTAGTTACAGTAGTATTTTGCCAGATCTTAGATACTGTGTGACCAGCATTCACCCACGTTTCGTCCAGATGATAAATTTTGTGTGAGCAGAACGCATTTCTCTAATAGAGCGAAGATATCTCCGTCGCCATGAGACTATATCTTCTCTTTCTATTAAGACAGATTTACGGGATCGTTTGGCATATATAAATTTTAAATCTTCTTTTATTATTTTCCTTAACTTCTCTTTGCTCATTTTTGGAATGAGCTCATTATTCATTACCTTTGTCCTAATGGATTCGAGGGTTGGCGCTTTATTCTCAAAAAAAAGAATGAATGGTATAGCGTTCAACATTTTTCTGGTACTCGTCCAATTCATTTTTTTTTCTATCACGACAATGTATTCTAGGAACTAATCAATGATAATTGTACTTGAGTTTAACGAACATTTATACCTGAGTTTAATGACTAGGTCAAGTAATTATCTCACAATAAAATGCGAATGTGATGAAAATCTACGATAATGTATTTTGAAAAACAAGTATCGGCCAACTCTATCTTATATTTCAAAGTTAATAAATATAACAGTCTATTTAATAAATATAATAAAATATATTTAATAAATACAAAACAAAGTCACCTTCACAAGAAACAGAACACACTACGCCTATGCAGATAAGGACGCTTGATAATGAAGAAACCGAATGACTAGTTATGGCATTTTAAAGACGCAAATATAATAGACCTGCGAAGTGTTGATCAGTTTACCGATGTTTCAAAATTTTTAACGAACTGGTTCACCTATTCGCTCGTACATCCTATCGATATGCAGAAGCTATCTTGTTACGGGGGACAAATTTTATAGAGTCATCTTACTTTTCAATTATTTACAATGGCGATGCATAGACAATAAAAATGACACCGGTAAGAATTTAGTTCTAACATTAAGCATTGTTGCCGTTGGCTCTCAGTTTAATTTGTATATGCGTTACCTTCAATTAAAAATTGTCAGACTATGTATTATCAATGATTAATGTTCTGAATTGGATGACAGTAAAAGATAGATTACAATATTTTTCTATGATATCCATATTTAAAATACTCACTGGAAAAGCACCACATTACTTCAATGAATTCATTACATATAACTACCAGATACAGAAATACGATACAAGAGGGAGAGATGACTTGGTTCTCCCACGAACTAACCTTGTAAGAACAATGAACTCTATATTTCACAGAGGACTCTTGGACTATAACAAGCTTCCTAATGAAATTAAACAAAGTAACGCCCTCCAACTCTTCAAACGCTCCTTGTCTCAATATCTACGAGCACATTATAATCCAATTGAGTTGTTCATCATTCTTCTCTCTATTAATCTCTTCATCATTTACTACTGCTGCGTTTTTACACACTATATTCTACTATATAGGATTTATATATTTTAGTTTATTTTGTATTTTTTGTTCAATAACTGATATATTTGTATAATCTGTATGTATATTAGGACATCTTTTTCTGATAAATCTATTTCTATTTCTAAAAACGTGAACACTCGGCATAAATGTTATCGACTTTGAGAAAAATATTTTGAAGAAAAATATATATCCAAAGGGGAAACACGGAAAACTTTAATTGCTCAAGCTGTTCCAACATTATTTGCGCACAAATTGAAACGAGAACAAACAGGAGATAAGGAATCTGCAGAACCGATCAGAAAAATGATCATTCTAGAGATAGAGTATCAGTTTAGTTCTTTTTGGAAATTAAAAAATTACAATTTCAGTAAATCACAGTGTTATTCGTTTAAAATTTTCAGATATTGTCATTTTTTCTCCACTGAAAGTTCTGACGTTATGCGAGAATAATTCTCGGACGTTATTTAGAGTCAGTACAGTGGTGGCCTTTGGAGTAAACGCGTGCGAGCATCTACAATGTTTTCCTCCGATTCGGATAGTGATACTGAAGAAAACCTTGCGTGTCTACTAATGTTAGGTTTACTTGAAAATAAGAGAAAGTATTGGGTTCATCCAGTAAATAATCGGAGAGGTAATCGAAGCGAATATCATTTACTAGTGAAAGAACTGGAGTGTGATGAAGAAAAATTTCATGAATATTTCAGGATGTCGAGAAATCAATTGTATTTTTATTTATTATTTCAATAATCAAGAACATCATTCATCAATGGTTGTATAGTTGTGGGAGATTAAATAAGCTCCTGATTAGAGTTTGTCCCCAGTGTGCTGCCTGAAAATCATATGATTATACACTTTTGCATGGCTAGATGGGTATAGGTGATTAGATAGGTTGGTAAGAACTCGATGGAATAGTTGTTTGAGATACTATATTAAGCGGTGTCTTTAATACGTAATCTGTTTGAGTGAGTTTTCGAATTTCTGCTTGAGAAACAGCTGTATGTAAATCCAACTTTATTTTGCATTGATCGAGTTTTGGGAGCGCCTTGACTGCCTTACTCATACTCAAAAAAAATAAGTCAGTGTCATCCATATCTGGCTTAGCATGTTGCCTTTGCTTTTTTACCTCATTTGACGACTTCATCAAGTCATAAATGTCTTGTAAGCTAGGTTTGTTATTCGCTGATAATGTTCGTTTTGACGCTAAGCTCCTTTGAGATCCATTACTCCAACTAGCATCCGAACTTTGAGTTTGTGGAGGTTGCGATGCTGAGCTGTTTTGCGAGTCATTAACGAAAACGTCAGGGGGGCTATATGGAGTCATGTCTAGAGGTGATTCTGGTGTTGGCTCTGTCAAATTAGTTTTGGTGTTCCTCGATTTCATGTGAGGACGTAAAAAATTCATTTGCTCTTCGTATTTCCATGCTATCACTTGTGATGCGGCTTGTCCACTTTTTTTATTTTTACGCCGTTTTATTGCGCTGGCATATGCATTTCTTAATTTTGTCCAGTTGTCTTTGCACTTTCCAACTGTAAAAAAAAATAAAACAACATTGAACATTTGTTCACAGATTTTTTCATTCTCTGGCATTCAGTTATCGTATGGGATTGCCTACAGTGAGAAATATAGTACAAGGAGTATGCGAAGCGGTCTGGAAAAATATTACTCTCATTGTAATGCCTCAACCTTCAGAAGAGAAATGGATTGAAATTGCAAAAGACTTTGAAACATATTGGAATTTTCCAAATTGCATTTGCATTAAAAGGCAAGCACGTGAACCTAATTTGTCCAATCAATGCTGGATCAACTTATTATAATTATAAACAAGAACATTCAATCGTACTCCTTGCTCTTGTTGCACAAAGCATCTAACCAGTGGGCAGTCGGAAGTAAGTGTTCAAGTGAATTCGCGGATCTCCGTAAATATGTCTTATAAGTGTTGTAAAACCAAATCAGTAATTTACTACATATGCAGAACATGTTCAGGTATTTATCATAAGAGTTGCTTAACAAAAATTAAACAAACAGTTCTCTTTTTGAAAGATAATATAATTAACTGCTGCAAAGACGATTCTGACTCAAATATGGATTCGGAAGATATTAGAAAAAACTCTCAGTGACCAGAATGTGAATAATCTCACCAAAGAAAAATACCTTAAAGAATTGAAAGACGAGCATGCATTATTTACTCAAGAGGCACTGAAAACAGAACAAGATATGAATTTTATGATAGACCAACAAAAACTAATCATTTGCGAATTGAGAGAAAAAATTAGTGAACTGCATGAGAACCTTCACAAAACCCATCTAGAGAAAAAAACTGCTACACACAAACAAATGAAGAAACCACACTTTAAAATACATATATGACAACAGATTCATTGGGAGAATATCCCAGTGGCGTAGACAAGAAGTTATATAAACATACTTTCACCCAAACTGACCATGAGTTCAATTATAAAATATAGATTGATTTGATTTGATTTGTTGATGCACAATACAGATTTATTATGATAGATGTAGGTGCCTACGGTCGAAACAGTGATGGTGGTATATTCGATAAGTCATTGATAATGAAAATATTTGAGCGGCAACAACTGACTATTTCACGAAATAATGTCCTCCGGAGGGGAGGACATTATTTCGCCCCCGCCGACGTAGGGTAAATGTGGTCCGCCCCCGCCGACCACATTTACCCTACGCCGTAACAGCCGGCTGGCCTCCCAGACCTGAGCCCCAGGGATTTTAGGACTCAGTTCCTGTCTAGGTACGACGGGAGGTTGGTTTGCTTCAGATAGCTCTTCTAGAACTCGGGACTCATTGTGGAGGTACTGACCCCGCCATGAGGCCACCCCCAAGCCTCTCTCGGCTTCAGGGTGGCTCCCTGGCATTTCTCCAACCCCTAGCGCTTCCGCTAGGTCGTCAGTATCCGGCTCGAACAAGGTACGAGGCGCTCCTGTGCGCAACGCACCCTTCTCCTCCCAGGGATCGCTAAGTGCTCCCCCCTGGGGACATCGCGACGCCTGGCGTCGGACGACCTGTGCTTCGTCGCTTAGTTCAATATTGGCAGCATTTCCAAAGCCTTCTTTGCTTTGGAAACGCTGTCCTTCACCGCGCCTCTCAAAACTTTCCTTGTTTCGAAAGTCCTGTCCGGTGGTTCTTCCTTCGAAACATTCATTGTTTCGAAAGTCCTGTCCGCTATGGCATGATCCTCTTGTCGGGTTTGACAATGACAATGTTTCTCGTACAATTTCCATTTCCACAGGATGACTATACACCCTGTGTATTCTGGGACTCGGGGTTACCACGTAAGTGGGTAACTCCTCCATAGTGTGCCTCAATGGCTGGGGAAAACTGCTTCCGGTTGTCGCCGTCGGCAAAAATCCTTGATTTCTGCATTTTGTTCCGGTTGGGAACAAAATTGCGATTTTCTTGATTTCGGAGCCGATCTCAGCATAGGAGATCGTACTCGCATTGATAACATCGCGCGAAGCCCTAATTGGGGTTCGCTTTGCGGTCTAGCTGGTGCATCTCCTCGGGGATGATGTCCAGTTTCTTGTAGTAACGTCTCCTGACGTTCTCTTACATTATTTTCCTCCTGGAAAACCGTTGCATTTTCCTCCTGGAGAAGCGGTGTATTTTCCTCCTGGAAAATACTGTTTCGTCGACTCTGCGGAGTATTAAATTCCCTAATACGGTTTAATACTGATTGATAAGCCAAGTTGTTGTCGCGATTTGAGGACTCTGTCCTTTGTGTCGTGTCGAGTTCTCTAGCTGTTCGACTTGCTGAAAAACCATCAATGCCCAGGGTTTGTCGCTCTGCGACCAAGGGAGAGGTACTGATGTCCTCGTTCATAGAAAGAATACGCTGAGTAGAACCTAGCCTCAGACTGGCTGATCCTACCGGAGTTCTCGGAATGCTGTTTCCTGTGAAACCAGATTCCAGGGGGGGTTTCTTGTCGGCTTGTAGAAGTCGCACTCAGGCGGCTAAGCGTGTCTGACAAGGAACTGGATTGACCGAAGCTTGTGGTCTCGCGGTTTGGCACTGGTGTATTTTCTGCAAGCTGCGCTCGCGCTTGTCTTGCCCTGGTACGCATTTCAATTTCAAGTTTCCCTAAAATGACTCTGACGAGGAAATAGTCAGAGGGAAGGATTCACGGAAATCTAATGTTTTTAAGTTCACCCTTGGATCGCGAAAGCTACTTTCCTATCCAAAGCCTACAGGGTGAACTGAGCTAGTGATTTAGGAACAAGGAGCCTAACGGTTGAACAGCACCCTAGGATGAGGGCCGCTCGCAGGATAAGGTAGAAAGGTATTGTAATCCTGGAAGGTCCCAACGGTTAGGTCGAGTCGTTCGCCCGAAAGACGTAACTAATGATGTCTTGATCCTCCCGAGTTTAATCTCGAAACACCTCGATCGTTTAACACCGCAAGGTGATCGGGTGGAGTGAGACCGGGCAACTTTAGTAGGGACCTGCTCTTCCTTTGCAGGATTTGGGCTGCTTTCCTCTGGCGGAATGCCAAAAGGAACCTGGACAAACGTAAGGTATGATTGAGCACTTCAATAAGTTACCGAACCAATAATCTGCTCCAGTATAAGCTCTGTTAAATCCCAGAGTTTCCACAATCATAGAATTTCTCGAATAAATATCCAGCCACTAATCTGTTCTGATTTATTCTCTATTGGTCCTAGAGATTCCTGATTTCAGTAAAAATTCTTCCAATTCCACTGTTTGATGATAACCGCAGATCCCTAACGACTCCTGTGTTGTGCTTTGTCTCTATTGAGTTCTGAAAAGAACCAGAGACTCGAATTCATTCAATAAACCTCAACCGCAGCTTCAAACATTCGAAAAATCTTCGGATTTTTAAGATGACTGCTACTCGTTCGATGTTCAAACTTCGACTAACTATCGTGACTTGGAAATCGGTATATTTATCCTAAATAAACGGGCTCTCTTCCGCGCCACTTTCAGCCAATCAGCGATCGCAAAAGCCGTGCGATCCTGCCTGACCTACTTTCAATATTTACACAACAAAAAAAACTCATTTCGTATGTATTTGCCAGCGTTTACGACCTGTTTTTCTGCAGGCGCTGGGCTTTGAAGTAGGAATACCGCTCTGCTACTTTCCATTGACGTCTATATGCCGCTATTTCTGTCTCATTCTTTTCGTATATCGTTTCGCTTTCTCAATTTGCGTCGTTCGATAAATGAAATCTAACAGTCTTCGGCCTCACTCGGGAATCTTCGGAAAATCGCGAAAACTCTGAATTTTCGTTTTCCTCGATTTCATATAGAACTCATCATCATCATCAAAATGCATTTGAAAAATGTTATATTTTTCGAACTCGAATGCTAATAAAAATTGAACCACGAGCACTAGAAACGTGATCGAGGTGTCAACGATAGCTACTAAGAATTTCTATCGATGCTTCTTTGTAGAAAGCACGATTTCCCTATCTAGATAGCTGAAAAAGCCATTTTCCATAAAATCAGCTTTTTCCCTATTTAAAAAATTGGCGAAGGCTACTAATCTTGCAAAAGATTTTTCTATCGCTTAGGAAACGATATTTCACATCTTAATTTTCGAAATTAGGCTGAAATATCTTGGGAAAACCAATGTTTTTCCGCATTTTCTCAATGTTCATTCTGAGTTTCACGACAATAAACCATTATACCAAAATTCAGAACCTTTGCCGTATACAATTATCGCTGATGCAGCGTTTCCCTTAAAAACGTATCTGTTAAAACCCTACATTAAAGCAAAACTAGTGAATAATGATCCAAATAAAGTATTTTATTATCGCTTATCACGTGCTCGTCGAACTGTGGAAAATGCATTTGAAATATTGAGAGCACAATTTCGAGTTTTCCAAGGATCAATGCAAGTACAACCGGGCATGGCGAATAAAATCGTACAAGCTGCTTGCACCCTTCATAACTACTTACGTACCCTAAACTCACAAGAACTCGAAGATATTTGTTAAATCTAAGTGTAAACGATCAGATTATTTATCTGATATTGAGTGTATTGCAAATCCATCTCATGACGCTATTTACGTTAGAGGGAAATATAAAGAATATTTTAGCCCAGAGAGACAAGTACCATGGCAAATGGAATCCATCAGACAATGTAGAAAAGAATAACCAAGTTTTGTTTATGAATACCTACTATTGTGTTTATCATTTACGCCATTTAAGTACCTAAACAAATAAAAAAGATCAAAAACTCACCTGGTTCATTCAATTTTTGAGCAATTTCTTCCCATGCTACAGTTCTTATTAAGTGATCCTTGTATTCTTTACATTTTGGACTATACAACACTTCGTATTTTCTGACAAGTTCAATGAGTTCGTCCGACATCTTGTACACGAATAAATGATGCAAACGACTATTCTCTACTCTAGCTAGTTAACGCATCAGATTAGAAACATACTAGACTAGTGTGGAGTGTTGTGACGCGTCATAACCCCAGTATCATTCTGACGCCGGCGCCGATCGGGAATCGACTGATCGCCGTCACGACAGATCGCGTCCCGACACACTGCACTTTAGTAATATAATTCTAAACATACTAAATGCATGGATACGATATACTTGTGGCGCGTCACGACACAATAATATAATTCCAGCTTAAGACGATATACATTTGAATAATAGTTGAAGTTTTAGTTAGAGTATTTGGTTGTATTAAACAGTGAAATGAAGTTGAGTTTTGTACAGTGTAGTCAATTATTTTCAAACCAACGGAGAAAACCTAATAATATATTATTGTTGATTACTCTTCAAACAGAGCGGTTGTATCATTGATCAGTCAATTGCTAAATTATTTTCGATATGGTCATACACGGTGATTCAAACTGAATATTCAAGTTGGCTATTCTTCTTCAAGAGTTACTTTTGAGTTCTGATGAATCGTCGGAGGAAGATAAAAATTACAGTTTGCCCCTTGCATTAAAGAATAACAGAAGCTGATGTTGAAAATATCTTCACTATTCTTACTCCAGTCTGTTTTGTGCAGAAAGTTTTATGTTTTTCTCAAAACAACATGAAACAATCACCTGTTCAAATGTTCTGTTTTTGAAAAAGATGCGAAGAAACCCTGGAATACGTATAAACCCTGGAATACGTATAAACCGATTTGCTTTTATTTCAAATTGATGATGTTCATATCACAGAGTTTCCAAAGATTTGCTTTATTTTTGTTAAGAACTTAGTTCACATGTTGATAGATGGAGCAATAATCTATAAACTGTAACTCATATTTCATTCAGATCTTCAATTTATGGATCAAAATATAAAAACTCTTTCACTTAATATCAACCCATCGACATTGTTAAGCAATGTCACTTTTAAGTGTACCTACTCAGCACCTCTGAGAATGGGAGACTGAAAGTTATAAGATCTCTTTATTATTTTTTATCAAGAGTGCTTTAGGTCGAGAGTTTTTGACAAAATATTCTGCATGAGAAAGGGGTCCAAGTGATCACACCAGGAATATTTTAATCATCTTGGTTCTGAACCCAAACTCGTCATCTACCAATTGTCAGTGTGATTCATTGTGAAATGTCACTTGAGAAAAAGTAGATATTCTCCTTAGGGTAATATATCTTGATGAAGGAGAATATTTATTTCGTACAAAATAGTTTTTCAAATTTTCTCCTGAAAATGAAATTTGATATTTTCAATATGTTTTCACATATAGTCAGTGGGCATACTTGAAGACTGGCTAGAAATCATCATGATTTAATTTATAGCCAGTCTTCAAGTATGCCCACTGACTATATGTGAAAAGTTTTCTTTCCTTATACGAGGAATTGAGCAAATTTCGGATATGCAGTTGGTTACCTCGTTCACAGGCAGATGGGTCGACGACAAACTTGTTGTTTGTTGTATGCTTCAGCTTAGTTCGAGGAATGATACTCTGAAGGAATTTGATTTGCAATTATCGGAAATCATCGACTTAATGTCGATGATATACACTACCTTGCACTGACGAGTCGCCAAACAGCCCGAAACCGGTCTGCAAGTGTGTTCTAGTAATTGAAAATATATTGCGGCAGTTGTATCGCCAACAGCATATGGAGGAATAACTTCAGTGAAGAATCCTGCACTGAGACCTGTCGGATATAATCCAATGCCCTTCGTGGTATTAGCCAGGGGAGTAGTTGTTTTCTGATAGGTGTTAGTTTATTAACCTACAGTGTAGGGAGTTGAGACTGGCCTGAACGAATTGTTCTTTTAGATTATTTTCTATATGTAGGGTTCGCCGAAAAAAGATACATGGTGTGTCAAAAAATGAGTTTTTTGACTTAACGATGGTTCGGGACATTCGAAAGCATGCTGTTTCACGTGAACCATTCGCTGAAAAAAGGTACAGGAACAGGTACGACAGATTCTTCAAGTTCTACGACGCTGATGCGAGAACTATTCAGTTGTGTAGGTATCATTCCAATTCTCCTCAAACTTAGCATACTCAGTTTCAAAATTCTCTGAAGTAATATTTAAACCAGAACTCGCAAAAGATACATCGTCATTACATACCGCATCGTATATCCCATTAACCGCTTCGAACTCTTTATCGAAAACCTCTTTGATTCTTTTTAAATAACTTCTTCGGGCGTGTCTTTCTGTAAAGACACGTCCGAAGAAGCCATTGTCTGGCGAAATACGTCTTGCGTTTTTGTAAAACTGTTTAGTGAAAATCTCACAATGGCGTGTTTTTTGTATTCGTTAGTTATGGATTTTCATCAAGTATCGGCCGACACCATCATATATATGAATCAACTACATTGTAGCCCAATCACAGACTTGATAACTGAAGCTAACGTCATAGTACAACGAGAATAAACATCGCAGATTGAAGGAATGACGTCACAGATACCCAGACCAATGATATCAAGACCTCACACCACACTGAAGGCGTATAAACTTCAAACGCGTTTTTCTCGAAAACTTGTTTTCGTGCACTACGTACCTTTTTTCGGCGAACACCACATATTAACAATCGAACTACAAGATAATAAGCCTGATGTAGTCCTTTTCGACCACCAGAGCAAGACGATATTTGTCATGGAGTTTTCAGCTCCTGGCGAGACGAATATCGTCCGAAAACAGAAGGAAAAACGGATAAAATATCGAGATTTTCTCTTCGAACTCCGCAGACTCTATCCAGACAACTCTGTCAAGATGGTTGTTCTGATTATTAGAGTGATGGTCATTCGGAGCATTCGTTATTTTCAATATTTTGGAATATACTTGACGAGTTTCTTCATTATCAACATCTTGCGGATTCTTCAAAAAGATCATATCATACAAGTCTGGACTACCTGCGCATTCATATTTTTTCACTTTATTAGCATCCCAAAGTGAAATGTTTCCATCTTTGAAATATACCACTAGACTTCCCATTTTCAGCTTTTATGTAATAGGATCCATACGTACACCAAATGTTCTAGATTTTACATTATTCAAATGTTTCGCCAAAACATCTTCACGACTTTCATTCATATTAGGTGAAGAGTCAGGATCCGTGGAATCGATATGGGACGATGATGGTGTTTCGAATAGAGTTGTTCTCATATCGTCTTGAAGTGTGCTCGTGTCACTATTCACAGATGATACACTACCAAAAGATTGTTTTCTTCGTATTGGAGTACTCATGGGATAATTTGAAGTAGACTGAACATTTCCATGGTTTGACGATAACATTGATGATTTCGAAGTAGTGTTTGATGATAAAACATTCAATGGTTTCGTTATGGGCTCATACAATTTTTCAAGTGTCGTACGATTTTCAATATTATCATTCTTGATAGAGTTGAATTTCTGCCTAACAGCTTCTGTTGTCTCTACTAGTTGACGTTTCAAATTCATTTCACTGTATTTATTTTCAGAATCATTTTTCGTATTCATAATGCTCTTTTAAAATTATAGCTCAATTCGCTGATGAAGTGACCTCTACAATATTCAGTGATCGAATTGTCACCTCACAAACCACAAGAGACTAAATCATCTGTCGGTAACAAATAAGACAGATGGGTATCCGCGGCTAAGCTAAACAGTGGAGACGGGAGTGGGTTAAACAACTTAGCAAATTTCAAATAGATCTTAATGGGCGCCAGGTAAATTTAATCCTCCAGATACCCTAAGTAACTCACAATATCAATAACT